TTTATTTATTAATTAAAGTTTAATAAATATATTACTTTATTATTATTATTATAATTTTAATATTTATATAACTTTTAGTATTAAAGTATATAATAATAATATAAAAAACTATTTTTTAAATAATATAATTTATTTTTATTAATTTATTAAAGTATTATAAAATATAATATATAATTAAAAGTATAACTTTAAAAATATATATAAATAAAACTAGGTTTTAATTAATTATAAATACTTAAGGTTTATTAATAAATATTTGAATAAATTATTAACTATAATATTATTAAAAAAGCTTAAATTTATTAATAAATAATATTATATAATATATTTATTTATATTTATAATAAAAAAGCTATTTTTAATTTAGCTAGGTAATTATAATAATAATTATATTATTTTTATTAAATTTAAAATCCTCTGCTATTATAAAATTTATAAAAAGCTAGCTTTTAAAATTAGTTTTATTAAATAAAAGGTTTATTTATATTAATTATTATAAAAGTTAGTATTTATAAATTTATATTATTAAATTTTAATTTTAAAATTATTATTATATTATAAAAAAAGTTAAAAAATATTAAATAATTTATTTTAATATAATTAGCTATTATAATAAATAATTAAGCTTTTAATAAATTAATTAATTAAGCTATTAATTAAATAAAAATATAATAAACCTTATAAAAATATAATTAACAAGTAAATAATTAAAATAAATTTATATTTATTAAAAAAGCCTAGAAAAGTATATAAAATAATAATATAGTATTAATTAGCTTTTTAATTTAACTATAAATATATTAAATAAATAAAACTTTAAATTTAAAAAAATAATAAAAGTTTACTTAAGTAATTAAAAAATATAGTTTAATATTTAAAAAAGAAAAAATTAATAAAAGTTGTTTAAAAAAAATAATTTATAAATAAAAATAAGTTAATATTTTTAATTTATAAATTAAAGTAATAGCAAGAGTTTATTTAATTTATAAATTAAAAAAAATATAAAAAAATATTTAATTTATAAATTAAAAAATAAATAAAAGTTTAAGTATATTTTTAAAAATAATTATTAGCTTTTATAAAATTAATAAATATTTATTTTTAAAAGGCTTTAAAATATAAAAATAGCTATTAAAGCAGCTGGCTTTATTACTTAACCTAAAAAATATTTATAAAAATAACTTTTTTTTAATTAATAAAAAAATATAAAAAGTTATATATTTATAAGGTTATATATTTATAATAAAATAGTTATATATTTTTATTAATTGCTTATTTATAATACTATATTAACATTATATAAAATAATTAAATAAACAAGGTTTTATAATATATAATTAATATAATAGTTTTATTTTAAAATTTATAAAAATTACTTTATTTTATATTAATTATAAATTTATATTAAAAGCCTATAAACTACTTTATAATAATTTAAATATAAAAAATAATTAAATTTTAGCTAAAAATATAATTAAATTATAAATAAAACTTAAGGTATAACTTAAATTTATATAAGATTATATAAAATATTATATTAACTATATAAAAATTAAAAAATTAACTTTTTAAAAAAAATAGAATTTATTTACTATAGCACTTATATAATAAAAAGTTATTAAATATAAAAATAAATTAGCTAACTAATAAACTAGATTTTAAAAAACTTAAACTATTTAAAATTTTAAAAAAAAATTAAAAAAGTTAAGTATAAGTTAAATATATTTAATAATATAAAATTAAAAACTGCTATTTTTTATATTTTATTATTAAAAAAAGTATTAATAAATAAAAAAACAAGCAAGCTTATTATAAATAAAATTATTATTTAAAATAAAAAAAAAATTAATAAAATAACTTATATATAAATAAATAAAAAAATAAATAAAAAAGAATATTTTATAAAATAAAAAAAAAGTATAATTTATTTAAAAACTTATAGGTTTTAGAAAAAAAACTTAAAAAAAATACTTAAGCAATTTTATAAAAATATTATTAGTTTTTAAAAATAAAAATAATAACAAGTTTAAGTTAAATATAAATCAATTAATATTATTAATAATAAAAAATAAACTAGCAGTAGAATTAAGCTTTAATATTATAGCTTAATAAATAATTACTTTTACTTTTTTATATTTTACTTTCTTTAGCTTTTTTAAATTATTAATTTTTTATATAATAGTATATATTGTTTTTTTTAACTATAATTATTTTTATTTTTAAAAATATTTAATTTTTATATTAATAATTTTATATTTTTCTTTAGTTTTTTTTAAAAAAAATATTATAATATTTTATTTTTAAATAAAACTTTTTATAAATATTTATTATAATTATTAATTAAAGAATTAAAATTATTAAAAAAAAAAAACTAATATAATAAAAAAAAAAAGTAAATACTTATATTTAATTAAATAAAGTCTTAAAAACAAGACTAATAAAAGAAAACTATTATATTATAACCTAACTCTTATAGTTATAATAGTAAACCTACTATATAAAAATAGCTAGATTAACTATAATTTAATAAATTAATTAAAAGTAAATTAATAGCTTATTTATTAATTTAATATAAAATTAATAAAAAATAAATTAATTTTTAAAAAAATTAATAATTATTTTTTTTAATTTTATTTAAATTAATTAAATATATAAGTTTATTTTTTATATTTATTTAAATAACTTAAATAATTAATTATTAATATAATTTTATATTTATAAATTAAAAAATATATTTAATTTCTACTAGTAATTATTATTATAATATTATTGCCTATAGGTTTTTTAACCTATCTGCTAATATAAACCTAAAGAACTTATTTTAGGTTTATCCCTTAGGAATTTACCCTATACTAACTATTTAGTATATAGTTTGTTATAAAAAGATTAGGCCAATAACTACTATTATAGCAGTTACTGTAACAGAACCAGCTGCTTTATAAGGGATCTATCTGTTACAATACACCAGGTTGTAACAATATATACTAAATATATAACTTTACTTCTTATACTTATTTCAATAACTTAAATAACTACCTAGTTATTAATAACAGACTTAAAATTAAAATATATTTTTAACTTTTGTTTAGTAGTAACAAGTAGTATAATTATTATATTGCCTATAAATCTTTTTAATATATTTCCTAATATAAACCCGAAGAACTTATTCTAGGTTTATCCCTTGAGAATCTACCCTATACTAATTATCTATTATATAGTTTGTTATACTTTCTTTAGCTATAATTAGCTATTAGCTCTGAGATTCTCCTAGAGATATATATTTAAAAGATTTACTATTATTAGCCTATAACAGCAAGTATAAGAAGCATGTATTCATAATCCTTTGTGTTTTAATACAGTTAGGTCTTTTTAATATATTGTATTAAGTATTTAGTATATAGTTTCTTTAGATATTATACCTTAGGTAACTTTATCTATTAATATATTATAATCTATTATTATCTAAGTATTTCTTAACATTAACTATATTATAATAATATAAGCAATATCTTAGAATGTAATAATATAAAAAAATAAATATAACATTTTAAGAAAAGATATTGGTATTGCAAGCTGGTGCAAAGTATCCTGTAGTATCAGTAGTAAAGTCTCCACTAGGAGTTGTAATAGAAAAGTAGCTCTGGCCTGCTCCACCTCCGTTTGCCCAAAGCCACGTCAAAGGGATGGCATCACCCTGGTTCATGTTAATCTGGACCGATCCGCCCACGTACGGCCACGAGGTACGGCTCGCCTGGAAGTCAGTATTGTCGTCGTTCCAATTCTGATAAGCATTGCTTCCTGTCCAGAGATATCCCCAGTTGTCAATGTAATCGCCGCTTGACCCTAACGTATACAAGCCCTCCTCTTGTGCGACAAAGAAGCCACTTAAAACCATGGCCGCCTGAGAGGAGTCGAAGCTGCTGCCATCGGGTAGCGTGAGAAGGGTCACACTAGGCCAGTCAACTGTGGCAAAAGTGAGGATATCCAAGGTGCCACTCCAGTCGGGCGTTAGACCTTTGAAGAAGGTTGACGTGAAGCCTGTGTCTGGGTCATCAGCATTAAATTCGTGTGTAAATTTGCGATAGTTGAGACCATTGCCGCCAGTATAAACAGAAGTAGCTACGGCGTAAGCTGTGACGGTCTTAGTGGTCGTTTGGATGACAGTGGTTGTTGTGATGCTCGTTGAGGTCGAAATTGAGGTTTCAGTGCTAGGACTCTTAGTGAGACTAAAATAGGCATTCTTAGCGGACGTTTGCTTACAGTGATATAACAGGTGTAACAGTATCAGTGACAGTTACAGCAATAGTAGTTGGCGTTTGATACTTTGTTGCAGTAAGGGTAGTTGTCGGAGCAGTGACAGAGAGACATGAGCAAACTCTAGACACCTTGTTCGAGTTCCAGTCCTTGGGGATACAGGCTGGTCTCTGATCCTGAATGGATCGCCTGGCTACGGTTGCGACAGGGGCAACGGCAGTATAGGCGCTGTTCAGGCAAGAGATATACGAGGTTGAAGTCGTGGAGGTTACAGTGCTAGTAGCAACAGTCTAGAAGAGAAATGAGTGAGCCAAGCTAGAACAATGTGAGTAGTTTGAGGTAGCTAACCTGAACAGCAGTAGCTGTCACAGTCTGTGTCTGCGTTATGACCTGAAGCGCAGTTTCTATCCTTGTGAGCGCATCCGCGGTGGTGGTCAGATACTCTGTGTTGTAGCCTGGCGCTGCCTCAGCCGTGAAAGTGGTTGAGCTACCTAGTTATTAGAAAAGGTTGTCGTAACGGATTGGGAAAGAACTCACACAGTCAAAGTGTCAAGCCCTAGGTAACTAACGCAGAATGCAGTAGCAGCCTTGTCTTGTTTCAGACTATCGATGACGCCTGAGTTGATGCGGCAGAATTGCTTGTCGGCACAGGCATTCGGGGCCGCAACTACCGCGACTGGCAGCAGCGCGAGGCAAGACTGAAGACGCATCTTATCAAGATCACGATATCGTAACACAGGCGGTTTGTTAACAAAGGAGTCACAACAGTCTAGCAGGCAGAGTATATCTATTTATATTACGCTATTTAGACACACTTATGTCAGATTAGTGTAGACGAAAACCCCTTATTGTACCTTAATGCACCCGATTTGGCGCTAAGAACTAATAGCGGCGGCAACTATTAAGTAGCTAAGATGAATCACGTAAAGCTGTTAAATAGTTTGGCTGCAATTTTAGCAAAGTTCCACAGACGCTAATTTTTCCCCTGGTTGTTCTTATCTTCTTTTTATTTTCTGCTCTTAGATCCATATCGTAATTTTATTAGTCCTACGCGCTTGAGATTGATAAGTAAGAGTTTTTCTTTTCTCAGCTTCTAAAAGCTGTTTATAAGAATCTTTCAAACACTCTCCTAGCGACCTATACTGCACTTTTAAGATTCTCTCCACCATGCTCCCGTCAACATTATACGTAGTACTTTGCGCAGCTATCCAAGGACCTGGCTTGCCTTCATCAATCCGATTCTGTAATTCAGGCAATATCCTTCTTGCTTCATCTTTCACAAGCTGCCAGTGGCATTTTTGTGCGGCCAAGAAACGTTCACCGCCTGCCTCTGGGATATTTACCGCCGCAAGCAAAGCTGCAGACACATCACGGACATCAACTCACACTCCAAGGTGGCCAGAATTATAAGGCGGCGGATTTGGCGAAGGGACGACAAGTTCCCACATCATCTGAGTTGATATATTCAAATGATTAAGATCCACTGGCCCAATATGTGGTCCAAAGATCGGCGCTGGATCTACAGATACCATGTCGAAAGCGGGTATGTTTTCTTTCATCCAATTCCACATGCGCTTTTCAGCCAAAGCCTTCGATCCAATATACCCAGTTCTGTGCTCATCAATTGCAGACTCCTCATACGTTAATTGATTCCAGTCACTAGGTGAATATGTTTTCCCTGGAGCGAGGCCCAGCGACAGGTAGAGTGTCGATGCAAAAGATCTAACATAGATGACACGTCTCAGCTGTGGCCCAGCATATTTGGCTGAAGCCTCAAGAACTGCCCCGCCACTTTTGATGGCAGGATCAAGGACATCGGTCTTAACGTCCTTTGGGCTATTTACTAGTGGTGACGCTGTGTTGATGACAGCTCTAATTTTGAACTTCCGAAAGGCCATTTCGAAATTGTTCGCCTTTGTAATGCCGGGCACTTCGATGATTTGCAGCTGTGAAGATGAATTAGGAAAGACTTTCATGATTTTCTCAGCTGCAGCTACAGAGCGAACTGTTCCTACAACTCTGTATCCCTGGGTAATGGGCTTCCTTAATAACATGAAGAGCAACAAAGCCGTTCGCTCTAGTAACAAGGAGTGTATCTGCCATGGCTAGATCTTTAACATTTCTTCAGATGGTACTCGAATAGTCAAAAAAAAAAAAAAAAAAAAAAAAAAAAGAGCAGGAAAGACAGAATTGTATGATCTTGAATATCTTTGGACATTTTACTTTAGAATCATACTTTTCTTTAACCTGTTGATTCTTCGGCACTAAAGAGTCGACTAGCGGACACACCAGACATTATGGACATTACGGCATAAAGAAGCTACCTAGACGTGCAATGTAATTTTTAAAATAGATTTTGGGTACCTATGTCCGTATACTATCTGAACACATCTCGTATGCCTTTTTCGGCATACGAGATTCCTTACAACAACTAGCCAGATTGGTTTGGAGTAGTTTAATCATCCAAAATTTTATTCGGCGCCTCCGTGCTTTCAAAAAATACAATACTAATTATAGGGCTTACAAAAGGGCCATTCTTTTGAGCCTCCTGTGCAGTAGTGATACCCATAGATAGTTCTAAGTTAGAAATGATAAAATTTTGATCAACTACTTTCCGCTGACCTGGTGAAATTAGATTTTCGAAATTTTCGACCTTCTGTTAAAAACCAGGATTCTTTTGATAGAAGCTTTCCTGCAATAATGAATTATGGTTCAATAACTAACTATGAAATGTGTTGGCAAGTAGCCTGTTGGTTAGGGTTAATGAACCTTTGACACATGGTAGTTTTTCATCATAAGCAGGCAGCTGGCCTCCATAATACATCAAATGTAAGCAGAGCAAACCCAAGGTTAGAGGCATCCCTGCCTCTAAGCCAGCATGCATAGGCTGGCGGACAAGCATCTGGACTGGCCGGTTGACCCCATGAGGAGATTGAGATTGTGGACTCGGGTCAAACGTCAATGGCAACTGCCATTGCTTGCTCAAGGTTCCCGTTTTTAATATATTGTTTCTTGGACGTAGGCGCCTCGGTAATGCTGTCTGTCATATCCCTATTAGACATGGCGCGTATCGGAATACTGAAGCATGTGCCTTTCCACATCTGATCGACTTTTTGGTTATGTTCGTCCGGTACATAGCGCACCAACTGCCCTTTGGTTCTTTAATCTGATGTTTATATACGCTGCATCTATGTCGCTCAGAAAGTATGCTGGCGGGTACTGGTCTCTGTCGCATTTCCCCCACTGCCGGTCCGCTACTATAGGCTGACTCGACCAAGAAGCCGTCACGCTAGCGTTTAGATAATGCTTCGTCGCCGCTGCCTCTTGCGGGTAGGTGAATGTCTCCCATAAGCGATTCACTTGCTGGGCTGTGATGGCGATTCGCCTGTGTCCAAGCACTATCTCAATGTTTGGCCACTTGCGTTGGCTTCGCATTGAACGCGTAGTAGAGCGAGGTGATGATGCATTCGGTAGCTGTCGTCTTGTCATTGACATTAGATTTTATGCGCAGTGTGTTCTTCCCCGAGCTAATGAGCTGTCTCCTTAGAGGCCACAATCTCTCATTACTTCCTGGTCGGCGGTGCTCTGCAACTACCACCAATGTCGCTTGGTACCAGTCGGCGTCGAGAGGCTTCCCAACTTCAGGAATCAAGTCCAAACCGTTAGGCCGACCGAGTTCTGGGGATAACAAAGGAACTCGCTAGAGATGGCCACTAATATAAAGAATTGAATGCAATGCGTCCCAGACTTGAATGGATTTTTTTGCACTATATCAATAATGTATATAGCCGGATTTGTCAACCAAGTATCCCTCTCTTGCGCGTGGGTTCTCTCGAGGTAGTCTAACCTCCCTAGCTTGCAACTTACCCTACTCTACTCTCATTACTTCATTATAACTTCCTTACAGCCGAGACACTACACAAGAGCCCTCTAGCAGTGTCCCAGATCGCAGCTCCACTGGCTTAGCTAGTAACTCTGGTAGTTTAGCTGAGAATTTGCGGAAGTAGGGGGCTTTGAGGTGTGCTTGAACAGCGGCTTGGTTTTTATATCTGGAAGCGGTTAGGGCCGTTGAACTTATCTCAAAGCCTTCTAGCTGCGGTAGGAATTGACAACACATAAGAAGATTATGTATACGGACGGATAGCAAAGGGAGGGGAGCGTTGTGCTCCTATATGGGAATTCCGTAAATAGGCAAAAGATTTACCTTTCGATGATGACAATTTCATTCTTTTTTTGAACCCTGATTGCATAGTATACAAGTGTATCCGGCTCGTTAGCCTGGACATTGGTAGTGACCTCAGCAATGAGTGCAGCGAGCTTGATTACATGGACGTTGGTTAGATTGAGAACAAAAAGATCGTATAACAAGAGGAAAAGGACGTTCTCACCTCATCAAATTTCTCAGGCTTAGGATAGAGCACGGCAGCGACGTTGATTTCTGACATGGTGGAGTGGCGCTCTCGGTGCTGGCGGGGAAGTCTCTACTAAAAAGACACTCTCGCCGTAATAGCCGTACTGTAAGTAGAGATTTCTTAAAATCTTTCTAACTGTGTTGGCTTCACCTTGGTGAAAAGCTGGTGCATGGAGTATATATGAAGGTTCAAGTATTCAAGTGAGGGATTGATTCTTATCTTTTGAGCCCTCAATTTTGGGCCGCGGCATTGGATGCCATAGACCCACACTACACATCGTACCGAAACCTCGGCGGGAATTGTGATTACCTAACACTGAAACATGCTACCTTGGGCTGGCCTCTAATTTGCGGGAAACGGCGAATAATTAGAGGTTTTGCTCTTTACACAGTTTTGACTTTAGTAGTAATTTACATTAGCGGTCTGTATAGTCTACGGATAGACCTGTTATCATAGTCATTCAGCAAGCCTAATTAACTGGGATCTTATACAAGGGTGGTATTGTATAAGTCCATATTAGGGAGTGCGTAGATGTCTGTTCAATTAATGGTAAACTTGGCCTTTGATTTACATATTAGTGAAGACGATATTCTTCTTGCCATGGGTGATAGACTAACTTCATACTTATTCTAATACATACCCGGTTTCCAGAAGAGTTTTGTCACTAGAACATCTCCCAATCGCACTTGTGAGAAGTCGTGGGCTTAAAGTTCCATAAGTTGACCAGCTTACTCGCCCCCACGTCCTTTAGTGCTGCCTGTGTGGCTCAATTATAAGTGATTAAGCTATTTATGGCAGGGCTGTCTAACCCAACTGAATTCTCAGGCTCTTGGTGGGCATGGAGCCGGCTGTAGCCCCCGTTCAATTTGACTGGTTGAATTTCAGTCTAACTTGAGACTCCTCTATACAATAATACGTGCAGTCTTACCGATATATTAACGTCACATTATAGGTGCTTTTTAGACATACGGAGCCTGCGGAGTCCTTTTTAACTTGCAAATACGAGACTTGAGTTAACTAGAGCTTTGTGCAACTGCAAAACTCATATATTTACTTTTCGGCGCCCCCGCTGCGAGTAATGAGTCCGTGTGAGGTGGTTTTCAGAGGAGCAGGATACTTAACTGGGAAGTATTATATTTTTTGTAAGTTAAGTCACTTACGTTACACACAGTCCACTCATGGCAGTTGAAAGAATTATTACTGCTCTAGTCGATGGTGAAAAGTCTCTCTGGCTGGGTAATAATGTATTGTTATCACTCTTAATAGACAATCCAGACTCTAGACATCCCGCATATGTGTACATTCAGCAGATATCAAGACCAAATACAGCAAGTCATCATACCCGTCTACCAGATATTCGGAAATTAAACTTAAACAAGAAAATCCCCACGGCTACGTTCAGAGCGGATGTCTTCGCCTAGTAAACAGTCAACCACACCACACTTCCCGATAAGTTGCTAGAGTAATGCTTTTGAATCAGAACTGTGTTGTGCGTGTTGGTGTGCTAGCAGAGCGGCCATACCACCTGGCTAATGTGAAATAGCTCCAGCTCCCCACTTGATGACATTGAAAAAAGTTCTGCACCACGTTGACGGCTCTCAATCGTCAACTTTACTATGCTCGACCGCCCTAACACACAAACACACTACCATGATATTCTAGATGTTTGTAAGGTCGTGGAAATTTAGGGTTTATAATTCTCTCGCACGCTGAATAGGGGTAATACCATCCCACTGTTCAAATACTGGTTGATATAGCGTGCCTCGTCCTTCGGCTGCTGCAAGTCCACATTTCCACAGCGTCCTCACAACCCAAAACTGATTGGGAGACGACCTATTGACACAGGCTATCGAGAGTTCGAATCCGGTAGTCCCATTTAAACGTCAAATGCGGCACGGTGGCATGTCTCCAACCACGTGTGATTGTTCTTGCAGCTCATATCTCACCAACTGTTGACACTTTGCCAGATGATTATTCTCCCGCATCCTACTTCTATCACACCTGAAGAACTCTGGGAAATATAAATAGATTCTGCTTCAAAAAGTAGATTGCCTTTGAAGATATTGGCGATACAAAGGGTAATGATGGTACTTGTAGATAGAGGGGTTCAAGGATTGCTAAAACCTGCAAGATTCTTAGAATCAAGAAAAGCGCCTGGTCAACACCAGCGCAAGTGCTGTAAAGAAGCTAATGATTCCAAGCCATTTACAATCCAAGATCCTGATCTCATGACATGTGGGATTTATAACACTGGATAGTAGTCGATATTGGCTCCTAATGGATAACGCGGAGCTGAAGAGGAGTCGCAGAGGAATAGCGACCGCTTGGTGTCCGTGAACATATCTCAGGGGATGTACACCGAGTAATTGGAATCAGATTGTGACGGAATACGTCCACCTATACTGGGATAAACTCATTACAGCCATCCGCGCTAGGATACACAATCCAGCTGAGATGAAGCTAATGACTGCTTAAGTACCTCTGCTTACCATTGCAAGCCAGTTTACTATAACAACATGCGCAGCTACCGCAGCATACTCCATATAAGAAGCAAACCGCCTTGCTAACTCCTGGTCTATCATAGGTACATGTCGCCTAATCCCCCCCCTGCCTAGACTCTGAACCCTTTCAAATCAGCGTTCAAACCGCAGTCTCGGTCAGCATGTTCCCACATATGCAGGTCTACACAGGTCTCTATGGCTAAAATCTTCCTGGTAATCCTTCAGAGCAACCGAAAGATCCTAGTAAACTTCAGCCAACCGTATGTTGCAATTGTTTCGCCAAATAAGGCTTGGTAGTCAGCACACGAGATACACGAGGACCATAAAGTAGTAACAGCAAGGTTTCTATTTCTAAATAATGAAGTATGGTAACCGAAGTAAAGGTGATCGGCCAACCCCATTAACTAGAGCGCTAGAGAACAAACAGCAAGCATGGTGACTTTACATCGGCTGCTCTTCATTTATTATGTTGGTAACCTATTTGAATACAAGCTAGAAAGGCGCTAAGAAACGCCGAGTCTCCAAACTATACTCAGGATGTTCCGAGCTATCTTCTGAAGTCGCGAGAGCCTCTTTAGGCTGGTCACTGGAAAAAATAAATGAAAAGAAAAGAAAGAAAAGAGAAAGTCGCTTGGCTCGTGCAGAGTGTCCTAGACTCGTCCGACAAATTAAGGAAGTTGGGTACAAGAAAGATTGGCTAGCGTCCATTGCTATTAACTTTATCCTTTCAAATTGGTAGTTCGGCCGCAAGCTATTTAGCCGGCAACAAACTTATTAGGGATGGAGGCTATGGCCCTTGTCCATGTCGCCATTTTCATGGACGACAACCTTTACCGTTACCAACTCCGTGTACAGTCAACCTTATCTCAAACTGACTTAATCTGGGCCTGGTGTAAATAACCAAACCGTTCAATTCAGCGAGCTGGGGTTGCATGCTGGATAAGCTAGCGTGAATCACTCCGCATTCGAGAGCTCGTGAGTAGCGGAAGTCGGAACGTTAGCACGATGCGGGGTTGACTTCCAGATTATGAGCCTGTTCCTTCGGGCCTTCAGGGGGGGAGCGTAACTTGGCTCGGCATTGGCTCGCTTCTAAGTCAATCAATTTGTATCTAGCGGTGCGTATGTCTACCATTATAGCCCAGGCTGTTCATTGGGTCGCAAAAGAAGCTGACCTAGGCTGATCAGCCACTGCAGCTGTCGAGTCAGCCATTGGTGCCTATTGGGTCGGAAAATGGCAGGCTATGTGTTTCCCTCAACGCGGTTGCGGCAAAGTTCCCATTTCCCCACGCTTGTCATTCCTCATTACTAGATTGGGAGACGCTGCTCGGTGTAACCTAGTCCGCAGGATATGCGCTCGGCCCGTCTTCCCCCCCTACCCGATTTCTTTCAGGATAACAAGTCAGAATAGCACGATAGCATAAAAGCCAGGAGATGGTGTTAGCCTTTCCCACCACCGGCGTTTCTTCTGTTTTGTTTCTGTATTCTTGTCCTGTCATCTTCTTTGTTTACAGGATTACTTCTCTTCTGTGCATGTTATTCATGCGGAAATAATATCGGCAAACACCAGTCCAGCATGAGTAACCCCGTCGAACCCAAAATGGCGGAATCCAAAGCGCAGGACGACGCTCCACAGGTCGAGAAGGAGGTTCAGGTAGAGAATGCTGACGATAATAACGTTGACGAGAAGGCGGATCATACACTCGACGAGAAGGCGGATTATAAACTTGATGAGAAGGCGAAGATCGCCGATTATAAGGCGGATGCCATCGAAGCAGAGAACGCGGAGCATAATATGACGGTGCTCGAGGCCGTTCGAGCATATCCCATGGCTTCCTTTTGGGCGTTCATTATGTCCTTCACAATTGTGAGCTGTTTAATGCCCAATTCCGATTAGCTCTTATATTCTCCTCTCTTGATTCTGAGAATTTCCCTTTGAATGAGGACTAGCCATCACTTGGACTAACACTTTTCCCAGATCATGGAGTCGTACGATGTCTTTCTCTGCAACAATTTCCTCGCCCTAGGTGCCTTTAGGGCAAAGTATGGTGACCCTGTCGATGACAACCCATTGAACAACGTCGTTGCCACCAAATGGCAGTCGGCACTTTCTGTGTCTGGGCAGCTCGGTGCGCTTGTTGGCGTCTGCCTCGCTGGCTCTCTCACCAGTTGGTTGGGATACCGCTATGCAACATTGACTGGCCTGATGCTCTTGAACGTCTTCATCTTCGCCTTTTACTATGCAGAATCAATGCCTGTAATTTTCGCGGCCCAAATTCTCGAGGGCATTCCTTGGGGCATCTTTATTGCCAATGCGCCGGCGTACTGTAGCGAGATCGTGCCTATCCAGCTGCGAGCCCCTTGCACCCAAATGTTGCAGATGTTCTGGGCTATTGGCAGTATTATTGTTGGTGCTGTAACCTACAGTTACCAGGGTCTTGACAGCCCTTTGTCCTATAAGTACGGCCGCTAGAGATCCTGTTTACAAACATGCAGAACAACTAACACAAACGGAATTTCCTACAGGGTCCCGATTGCCCTTCAATGGATGTTTCCCACTCCGCTTGCCATCCTAATCTTCTTCGCTCCTGAGTCGCCCTGGTGGCTCGTTCGAAAGGGGCGACTGCAAGAAGCAGAGCATGCCGTTGGTCGCCTTGGGCGGAGGTCCAGGCTTAACACTGGTGAGACCGTCGCCATGATGCGTCGTGTTGTCGAGCTTGAGGCCACCTCTAAGCCGCCTAGCTACGTTGAATTATTCAAGGGCACGGATCTCTATCGCACTCTTATTGTGTGTGGCGTGTACGCGGCCCAGAACCTCACGGGTAACCTCATCGCCAACCAGGCAGTTTACTTTTTTGAGCGTGAGTCAGCATCAGCATTATAAACATATCATCTATGCTAATCCACAAGCAGAGGCCGGCATGAGCAATAAAACTGCCTTTGCTCTAGGTCTTATCACCTCGGCATTGCAGATGATCTTTGTTATGCTCTCTTGGATTCTCACTACGTACTTTGGCCGGCGTACCATCTATCTCTGGGGATCAGCTATCAATGTCATCTTTCTCATCGCTCTCGGTGTCGCAGGATCTGTCGGAAAAAGTAATGCGAGCTCTCTAGCCCAGGCCTCCTTGGGCCTCATCATCTCTGTGCTCTTTACCTTGGGACCTGCCCCGGCCTCCTGGGTCATTATTGGTGAAACATCGGCCATTCGCCTTAGGCCACTGACTACTGGAGTGGGCCGCGCTTCGTACTACATCATAGAATTTCCTTGCATCTTCTTGGCAAGCTGGATGCTCAACCCTGAGGTGAGACTTCCCTTTTACCTCGCCCCATTCGAGTACTAATATAATATGTTGCAGGGTGGAAACCTCGCTGGCAGATGTGGCTACGTCTGGGCTTCTACAGGTTTAGTCTGCTACATACTGGCATATTTCTTCTTGCCTGAGATGAAGCATCGGTCCTACCGCGAAATTGATATCCTGTTCAAGCGTAAAGTTCCGGCTCGACAGTGGACAAAGACCACCATCGATGTCGATGACGATGAGTAAATGGAGGTGTAATGCATTTAGTTAAGAAGGTCCACGATATTATTTGAGACAGGACTTAATGTCGGCGAGTAAGGAATAAAGCATACAGCGCAGTTACATTTACCCCATATTATCAGCTAATGCAAACACCTTAGAATTCGGTTCCAACTTCAACTAGCTAATGGGTGATAATTTGCAGCTGCTGAGAAGCTGTGTAGTATATAGGGTTTGCACCAAAACATGAGAAAATATTAAAAGTTGCAAACAGGAGCTACATAATCTAAGTCTAAGCCGACTGTATCGCAAAGTACATGTATATTAATATGCTCAAGCCAATTGATAGCAATAAGTCGTCCAAGCTGTTTGTTTGTTTGTTTGTTTGATAATTAGCGACCGTGGCTTAGCCAAAATCCCCTTATGGGGACTGACGGTCAGTTAAAGCTAACTAGTTTTTATCTATAATATATATATAGTTTTTGTTATTTGCGACATGTGGCTAATAAAGGAAATTAAGGTATTTTTGCCTGTTTTATCTGTTCTTTAATAACCTTCCTTTAGATGCTCTTTTCCTAGTTCTAGAAAAGGGGATCACTCTTATACTTATAGACTTATAAGCTTACAAGCTTATATCCCAAGCTGCAGGGTAAGGGCCTTTTAGGCAGGATTTTCCTGCTGGGTCTAGGTCTAGGGTAGGTAGTAGGTTTATTTGCGAGCCCAGCTATAGGGTAGGCTTGGGCTACGGGGTAGCTACAGGGTAGCTTTGGGGTAGCTGGCTTTTCCCTCCACGCCGGCCGATTTAAAAATCTAGCTAGTTTAGTTTATTATTTATATGGCCGTGAGTCGATTTGACTGTTTTTGCATACAAATGAATTTTTGCAGAAAATAGGAATTGGCCCGCGAACCCAATTCCGGCAGCCCTGCCCGCCCGGGAGCCCGGAGGACCTGTGAGGGAGAGCAGATGCGAGGCAGCCGGCACGGGGCTTCAGGGCTCGGGCTAGCAAGCTATATATTTTTAAGTAATAAGCAATCAGAGACTGGAAAACAAGTAATTTAAATTAGTATAAGCCAAAATAAATAATATTCTAATATCTCCAAGTGCCTAATAGAGTTCTAATACAATTATAACTTATATCTGTAATTACATTAAATAAACTATATTACAATATTTACAGCGCCTAGTTAAAAGTCTCTTGAAGGCTAGGTAGCTGCAACTGTTAAAAAGATATAATTATATAATAAAAATATTTATATTTTAATTAATTTTATAGCTAAAAATAAAAAAAATAACTAGAAAAATACTTAATTAATTACTTTTTAAAACTTAATTTACTATCTTTTAGTAATAATATATTATTACTGCTAGTACTTAATATTATTTATTAATACTATAATTTTATTTTAATTAAATATAGCTTATATTTTTTATAAGTATTTTTTAAATACTTTAATATTTTATAATTTTTTTAAAAATTAAAAATTTTAAGGAATAATTTATAAAGTTTATAGTTTAATATATATTATATATATTTTATAAAATTAAAATTTAAACTATAGAGTAATTATTTTAAAATTAAAATTTTATAATTAAAAAAAAAACCTTTACTGCTAGTAATTTATAAATAAAAATATTATTTTATATAAAATAATAAATTTTATTATAATAAAAAATTAATTCTTTTTTAGTATTTTAATATAGCTTTATAAGATTTTTACTTTTAAGTATTAATATCTTAAGTTATAATAATATAAAAACTATATTTAGTTTTTTAAATAATTATTTATATTATTATTATAGTTTATAATTAAAAACCTTTTTTAATATTTATATATTTTAATATATATATTTTAAAAGTATTTTTTTATATTTAATTTATAAAATTAATATATATATTTTATATAAAATATTTATTTAAAAAATATACTTATATTTTAAAATTAAAACTATAATAACTTATTAACTTTAATTCAATATATTTATATTAATTTATTATTTTTTTTAACTTTTATATTATAAAAGCTTGCTTTTTATTTTTTTTTTTAATAAAAAAAAGCTTTTTTTAATTTTATATATATAAATATTATTATTGCCTAAAGTTTATTTAAATATTAAAGTATTAATTTTAAAAAGTAAGTTAAAAAAAACTATTTCCTAGGTTATATAAAAGTTATAATATATTATATATATTATTATATAATTACTATAAAGTAAAATACTTTAAAAATATTTAATTAAAAGTACTAAATATAAAAAACTAGTTTTTTTAAAGTATTTAATAATATAAAAGACAGCTTATTATAAAATACTAAAAGGATACTTAATTTAAATAACTTATATTTATATTTATAATTATAATAATTATTATATATATTTTAGAAGAAATCTCCTAGTTAGCCTAGTAATTTAAAAATAAAATAATCGCTAAAGTATTTATTTTAAATAAAAATTAAATCTTTTATAAATTTTTAAAGTTTATAGTAGTTAAAAAATATTTTTATAATTGCTTAAATAATAGTCTTAGTTAGGGGGCCAACAAAAGACTTCCCACTGTACTCAATGCACCTATTTTACACTAATTTTCAGGCTATATTTTAGCGCACAAGCACTGTAACAGCCGCTACACTGTACTAACTACTAAATGTTACATGCACTTGCTTGGAAGCCAGATAAGTCGCCCCGGAACGTATTGTAATAGATCATGTGTTATTTTAATGCATCTACTTTAATCTTGCCAACCAACACGCGTCCTTCGCTGGCTCTTCTGCTAGTTGCGTCATCCGTTGAAAACTCTCATCTCTAAAGCCGTAATCTAGCAACCCCAACTCTATTGCCACCCGTGCATAACGAATTGTCTCCCAGTACAATCCTTGCATGCAGCTTATTAGCGCTGCATACCAATATGCTGAGCTTCTTGGAGCGTGCAAGCGCTCCTGCTCGTAGAGACTGATGAGTGTCTGTGCCATTTCTAGTGGTGCCGTCTCCCAGTCTTCCAAACGGTCGTTTATTCTTTTAATCTGGCCAAGGCGCTCGTCAGATGCACGCGATAGCTCGGAGTGGAGGCTACATAAGCTGCAGGAGCAATTGAACCCCCAGAGAGAAGATAATTTCTTCAGACGTTTCTGGAGTGGCATATGAGGATCAATATATGTAATGGTAATTTCGGTGCCTGGAGTAATGTCGGTAATAGCGTGCACGTAGTGTGTGAGGGTTTGTTTGTCAAAAAAGTAGGCCGCGTTAGGGCGGCAATCATGGTTAAGACGCTGAAAGTTGTCAGAATCGATATCGTTCCCATCTACTTCTTCAATACATAGATTATGAACTTACAGCTATCTCAGGAAATACAGCGTAATATACTACCTCATCCAGCTCAAGTTCAAAAGCATTTGTGTCAATCCGGTCGCTCACTGGATCCGTCATTGGGCGACCATATAGTGCCGAAAACATCTTTTTAGTTTTTGGTGGAAGGTTGTTGGCAGCTGTATGTTCCAGTTCAAGCCACTGTTTCTTTTCTAAGTCTCCAAAACTTTCTCCATCAAGCATCAAGATTGGGGTATGGGCAAAAATCCTGTCGCCACGATGCAGCGTCTTATTCGCAATGAGGCCACGCCCTCTTCCTGGAAGCTCTGTTTCTTCAAACGGCGGCGATACTTGCTCATTGATGCCCGACAATGCATCGTCATCAGAAAATGCTGGTAGTTGCTGGAGACTCTCAACGCGGTCAGGTGTTGTTAAGATGGATATACCTCTGCCATCTGCAAAGCCGTAGGATGAAAAGACACAAAACATTTTGGCATTGTTGCGACAATCGATTTGTGATGTCCATGGAGCTAATGAATTTGTTACATATATGGGACTGAGCTTATGCTGGCCAAAGTAGCTGCACAATTCTAATTGATTGTGTTGAGCAGATGAGATCTGAAGCAGAGACGAAGAGCAGACGTCTGCAGAAGTAATATGTTGCCGGAGAGCTAATGCTACGGTTGCACAGTGGAGTAACTCTAGAAGCATAATCAACTTCATCTTAATTCTCTACACTTTAACAACATAAAGGAAGCGAGAAAAAAAATTCGGCGCGCATAGCAACTTTTAAAGCGGTGCCGTGAATATGTAATATACCATCAGTGGCACTATCATCGGCTGAATAGGGCTCTTGGCAACGTGATTGTGTACTAGGTAGTTGCCAATTGTCTTTTTACATAATTAAAACTCCGGCAAGTTGAACCGTAATGGTAGAGATCTCGTAAAGAAAAAATGATGACTTATGTGAAGTCATAATAGTGTCGGCCTGTGTGCAGGCGTTGTAGTGGTACCTAGTTTAAGGTGGATGTAGTTTATGACACAGACCATGCGCCACGTGTACTTTCTTGGGAAAACTCTCATTCCAGCCTGTCAGACGCAAGTCTCAGATACTTTTACACCTCGCACACATGTCATTTTCAACAACTTTATTGGTAAAAATCGACTAAATTTAGTTTTCGATTATTAGCTTACTGCTTATGCCTAAAACTAATGCATGATTCTGTTGATGTGTCTAGAGTTACCTGAACGGGCTCCACCCCAAATGACCAGCTGTTCAATTTCACCTTAGATTAAGTACTTAATCGAACATTCGTAGGCTTATGCACTGATAATCATGGGAACTCTGCCGCTTGTAGGTTTATTTGGGCCTGGTTACCTTGTAGAGACGTCTCCTTCCGCCAGATCAGGATTGCAAAGGTATTTAGTAGTTTTTTGTTTTTTGTTTTTTTTAAACAAAACTATTTGTTTTTCGTTAACAAGAAACAAATTTTATTAGTTTTCTTTAACCTACTAATAAAACTACAGTAGTTTTCATAAACTATATAATAAAACTAATTTATTTTTATTAATTAAAAAACAATATTATTACTTTTTAACAATTAAATAAGTTTTAATATAGCTTTCTTTAATAAATTATTTATATATATATAAAAGCTTTGTGACGAACCGTACACTAGGTAGTTAGTATAGGGTAGATTCCCAAGGGATAAACCTAGAATGAGTTCTTCAGGTTTATGTTGGCGGATGGGTTAGGAAACCTGTGGGCAATAATATTATAATAATAGTCATCAGTAGGGATTAGAAGTGCTTTCCAATCTATAGGTATAAAACTGTATTAATAACTAGCTATTTAAGTTATTTAAATAAGCATAAGAATTAAACTTATATATCTAGTTAATATCTTTAAATTATAATAAATTGATGTTAATTCCCATCGATCTTAAGTGTACGTTAAGATGGATTAAATATGATTTATGTTAAGCTATTGCTAATTAATGCGCTGGGCCTAAGTTAATCTAGCAATATCTACCCAGTAGGCCTATAGTTGCAACTATAAGAGTTAGGTTATAATATAATACTCCCCTTTTATTGATCTTGTCTTTAAAACCTGGTTATTTAATATATAAGTACCTATATCCTTTTTAGTAAGTTATTTTCCTTTTCTATATTTTTCTTTTAGTATTTATTATATTTTACTATATTTAAAAATTAAAAATTCCTAATTTTTAGAAATAAAAAAAAGTTAATAAAAGTATAGCACTTACTGCATTTATTCTTTTTTATCTTATTAAAATAAAGCCTTATTATTTATATAAAAAGAAAGGTACTTAGTGCCTTGCCTTAGTAAAAGATTTAAGTCGCTGTTCTAAATATATAAAAGATTATAGGTCTTATTATAAGGCTTTTCTTACTGCTTAATAATTATTATAAATTTTCTATTATTAAGATTAGTTAAATAATAAAGTTAAAGCTGCTGAAGAGGAGGCAATGTGCTTAATAGCTAAGATTACTTGTTTTTATAAGCAGTATAAGGATTAAAAAGAGAAAGCAGTATAAGCTATTTCCTATAGTATTAATAATTTAAAGGAATTGAAGCGCATTAAGTGCAAGGAGAGGGAAGCTGTAGAGGCTGCTTATTAAGCTGCTTTAGCAGCGCCTAATTCCGCTAGCCTATCCCAGTCTATTAACGTTATTAATTAATCTATATTTAATTTAGACCTATTACTATTTCTATCTCTAAAGACTAATAGTATCCCTGCAGGATTGCCTAAGTATTTTTCTTAAGTTCTTTTTTAAAAACCTATAAGTCTTTAGATAAGTTATACCCTTTCTATCTTATAAGGTATTCTTATTTACCTATTTCTTTATTTATTTATATATAAGTTATTTTATTAATTTTATATTCCTCTTCTTTATTTTAAACAATAATTTTATCTATAATTAATTCGCCTATTTCTTTATCTACTAGTGCTTTTTCTAGTAGTAAGATATAGAAAACGGCTGTTTTTAACTTTATATTATTAAATAAATCTAACTTATAGTTAACTTCTTTAATTTTCTTTAGAATTTTAAATAGTTTAAGTTTTTTAAAATTTAATTTATTATTTAGTTAATTTATTTTAATATTTAGTAACTTTTTATTATATAAGTGCTGTAGTAGGTAGGCTATATCTCCTTCCTAAAGGGTTAATCCTTTAATCTTCATTCAGTCTGCTTATTACTTTATATAATCTTAAATAAACTTAAGTTATTCTTTAAGTTCTTCTTATAATTAAATTATATCTTTAGCTAAAATTTAAGCATTTTCTATATTTAAACTATTATAAGGTAGTCTATAGGCTTCTGATGTAAATCTATAGTTAGCGTAAAATAATATAACTCCTATAGATTCTAAAATAAAGCTATTGTATTAATTTTATACTGCAGGGAGTTTTTTTATTTAATTATTTTATATAAGGTTAATATAGTATTATAAGTATGCCTTAATAACTTAATTTATTCTTTTTATTTAGCCATCTATTTATAAATAATATACAGTACTTAATTTATAATAAGTTTTAAGTTTAGCTATAAGTTTTTACTAAAACTTAAAAGCAAAGGTATTTCCTTTATTTAATATAATTTCTGCTGGTAGTCTATATTTTATAAAAATATATTATATATAAAGATATATTAAATCTTTTGCAGTATAAGACTTCTTATATAATAAAAAGTAAGCTTGCTTAAAGAGTTTATCTATTACTATAAAAATACTATTATAGACTATATTAATTAATAGTTCCTTTAACCCTAGTAAATTAATAATATAGTTAAATATAATAGTATATTAGTTTTATTTAGGAACTGGGATAGATTATAATTTCCTATATAGCCAATATTATTTATCTTTTATTTTCTTATATATATTATATTTTTTAATAACTTCTTTAACTTTTCATTTAAGTTTTTTAAAGCAGTAATAGTATAATATATAATTATAGGTAGTTTATATACCTTAATGTACTACTATAATTATACTATAATAAACATCCTAAATTACTTTTATTTACAATTCCTCTAGTACCTAGATTTATTTACTTTATTTTAAAAGTTTATTAATTATAGTTACTTTCTTAAAGAACTATTTTAGTTATTAATTTTTAATTTAATCCTTAATTTTATTAAAAATAGAGTTATATTCTTTTATAATAAATAAAGTATTAATCCTAATTTACTTATAATTCCCTTAGTTATTTTTATATAGAATTTATACTTTAAATTCAGGAATTTCTTTAAAATATTCTTTTTTTTAACTTAAAGCGTTAGCTCTTTTATTCTCCGTTCTTTTATAATAAATAATTTTATAATTAAAGTCCATTAAAAACTTAAAGTAATAAGTTTATTATATAAAGAGTTATTGTATAGTTATAAAGTAAAATATATTCTAATAGTTAGTGTAAACCTTAATTTTATATTTATTTCTTAAGTAGTAGTATTACTATTCTTTAAATGCTTTAATAATTACTAAGAATTTTTTATTATAAATAGGATATTTTAGTTTTAGGCTATATAGTTTTTTAAAGAAAAAAGCTACTGGCTTAAGTCTTCTATCTTTATTTTATTATCCTAAGGTTTCTCTTAAAGTAAAGTTAAAAGCATCTGTTTTTATTTTAATAGGCTTACTTAGGTTATATATAGTAAGTATTAGTTTGCTGGTAATGGCATTCTTAAGTTTCTAAAATACTAATTCTATTGCATTAGTCTAAGATAGTTTCCTATCTTTCTATTTTTTTTTACTTTTTTTATCTTCTTTAAGTTAAGTAGTATTAGTTAATGGTTTTATAATTTTACTATATTCTTAAATAAATCTTTAATAATAATTAACAAGTCTTAAGAAACTTTATAATCCCTTGTGAGTTTCTAGAGGTTTTTAATCTTAAATAGCAGCAACTTTATCTAAATTTATTTAAACTTCCCTTAGTATAATAATATATTTAAAAAACTTAACTCATTATATATAAAATTAGCATTTATCTAGGTTAATAAAGAGCTTAGCGTTTTATAGTTTTTATAATACCTTATAAATATATTCCTTATATTCTTTTAATATTTTTAAAAAAATTAAAATATTATTAATATAAGCTACTATAAAGTTATCTAAGTATTTTTTAAAAATAAAGTTAATTCTTTTCTAAAATAATGCTAATATATTTATAAATCCTTATAGTATAACTAAGTATTTAAATAATCTATATTTTATTTTAAAAGCAGTTATTTATTTATATCTTTTCTTTATTTTTATAAATTTATAGGCTTTTATAAGATCTAGGGCTATAAACCAGTTCATGCCTTACAATCTTTCTCTAATCTTAATAATTAATAGTAAAGGCATTCTATCTTTAATAATTATTTCATTAAGCTATTAATAATTAATAACTAAATAAAGCTTTTTATTCTTCTTTAGTATAAAAATAATAAAGTACTTTATTAAAGAATTTAATACCTTAATATATCCTTTATTTAATTATATTTATAGCCATTCTTTAAGTATTTTAAGCTTAGTTTTATTTAGGTTATAGATTTTATAAAGCTTTAGTAAAGTTCTATCTTTAAGAATAATCTTATAATCCTATTTTAAATAAAGTAGTAGTCCTTCCTTAAGTATTTACTAATATAATTTCTTATATTTTTAATATTATTATAGTATTTTAACTAAAGGTTTATTTTTATTATCTTTAGCTTATTCTTTTACTTTTGCTAATACTATATTAAATTTAGCTAGTTTTATATAATATCTAGCAATAATTTTATTAATTTATATAATTTTTACTTTCTGCTGTTAATTATTATATTATAGTAATATTAATAATTTTTTAAGGTTAAATCTAATTTTCTTATATATTTCCATTTTCTTAGCCTTATCTTTTTTATTTTATTTCTTTTTCTTTAATTATGCAGGAGGTTTTAGTTATGGATCTGTAAATGCATCTTTGCTTTCCTTGCCCCCTTCCTGGCTTAATTATAATTTCAGGGAAATATCTTCTTCCTAAGTTATTTCTTTTATCTTTTAGTTAATCATAGGGTTGTATTTTTTTAACCATAGGTATTTTAGTAAAATATTACAGTCTCTTAGGTTTAGTATATCAAATTTAATATCCTTAGTTTAATTAATAACTATTACAGAGAGATAATTAGTCTTATAGATAATAGTTATTCCTGTATTTATATTTATAATGCTAAAGACAACCAATAGTGTTTTCTTAATAATATATAATATTCTAAGCCGGTTTACTAGGCTATCAGTAATTAAATTATAATTTAAACCGCTGTCTACATAAATCTTAACTAGTTACTAGTTTAAATATCTATTAATTACCAGTTTCTTTTTTAATATTTTAATTAAGTTAATAGTAATTATATCTAAAGGGCTTTTTTACTATATTTTAAATTAATATTTCTTACACTATTAGCATTTAATTTAATTATTTTATTCTTTAATCATTTAATAATATTTCTTAATTAAGGTCTTGTTTCCTTATCCTTTATTTAAATAGTTATTAAAGTTATAGTTTCTTTATAAAAGTTTCTAAGTTATTTAATAAAATTAATATTTCTCCTTATAGTATTTTCTACAGTATTATATATTACAGTCTAAAAAGTAATCTATTAAGCAATTTTATACTTTAACTCTCTTTAATTACTTGCTTTACCAATCTGCTAATTTATTAAATACATATATTTAGCAGTATATATTATTATATTCCTTCTAGTAATATTTTCTGTAATTTTCATTAAAAGCATTAAAAATATTATAAATTAAAACATAAATATAGGCATCTTTAAAGTCTAGTTTAATAGCCTTTATTTATTTTTATATTTATTTTAAACTTATCTTTTATAGTAAATGTTCTTTAAAATACTATTATCTTTCTTTTTATTTTTCTTCTTCTTCTGCCCATGCTCCTAAAATATACATACAGTTATATTCTTTATCTATTAAATCACAAATATTATATCTTTTGCAGTTATAATTAAGGTCCTAAAAATAACAGAGATTACATTAATATATATAAAATAAGACTAATCTATCTAACCTTTATGGTTTTTTACAGTAATAGTTTATATTCTATAAATAGCATTATAGGCATTTATATATTTTTCTATTAAACTTTAGGCAAGTTTTATTATATTATAATTCCTAAAAGCTGCATTAATAACATTTATTATCATTAATATTATCGCTATTATATATATTTTTAAAAATAACTTTATATTTTACAAAAGGGTATATATCTAAAAGAATATTAATCTACTATTAGTGTTTTCTATTAATTTTATAAAAGCTATACTCATAGATTCTTCTAGTTTTATTATAGATAATTTCATCCTCACTAGTTTCTTCATCCAGGAGTTCCTATTCCTGTTCTTTAAGGTACTCCTTAGTTAATCTATCTTCTTCTTTAAAGAGTTTATATATAGCTTCTATATTTCATCGCCATTCGCCTTTATAACTATATTAATATCCTTCTATAAATCCACAGTTAAGGCATCCTTAACATTTATAGTCAAGGTTTTATAAATAGCAATTATTGCAATTATAGTTTTCCTTCTACATTACTGCTTATTTTCTATTACACTTATAAATAATATTAATAAATCTACAGTATTTATAAATTAATTTTATATTAAAATTTAAGTTTTTATTACTAAATAGCTTATAAAAGGTTAAAGTATTAATTTTAACTTTCTTCTAAGGTTTTATTTTTCTTAGCTTCTTTAAGTAATGTCCTAATCTATCTTTATTACTTCTATATATAAGGCATGCATTATTATAACAGGCAGTCTAACTAAAGCTATTATAAAGTAGTTCAGTAATAGTATCTATTTAAACTTTATTAGCCTTATTATTTCATTCAGGGCTTTTCCCATTTCCTTCCTGCTTTTTCTTAAAATAGCAATATATTTCCTTATAGCCTAATTTACTATAAAAATAGCATTTTCCTTTAAACTTAATTACTTTAATAATATTAAAGTCCATTTATCTTAATCAAGTTTTATTATCTTTTACAATATATTCTTTTTATTTCTTACCTTAATTTACATAATATTAAAATTTCTATTAAAAGGTTAATTAATAGCTATATTTCTTTAGTTTACATTCTTAGCTTCTTTTAAAGTTATAGTTATTAATATTAATAGCCTTCTAAGTATATTTAATAAATCCAATTTTACTTTAATTTTCCTTAAATAACTCATCCTTAACTTTAGACTTAACGCTATTATAATAGACTTCTTTCTTTATTTCCTTAATCCAGTTTACTTTAGTAAGCAGGCATAAAAAAGTAATAGTATACTTAAATAAAGCTCCTTTTTATTATAAAAACCTAAGTTCTCTTTCTACTTCTTATTCTTTATTTATAGTTCTAAAGGATTTTTTTAATTAATCTTTAAAGGTTTTATAATTACTAAAAATCTTGCTTATTTAAATCTTTATTTTAGTAGATTCTTCCTTTATAGCATTATAGTCTATTAAAATAAACCTAAACTATTTAACAGCAGTTTCCATAAAGCAGTTAGCTATAAAAAAAACTTAATCCTTATTGTCTTCTAAATTAGTTAAAAAATAGCTAAAATAAATATTTAATTTAGTAAAGAATTTATTTATCTTTAAAGTATCTCCATTAAAGTTATTAAGTTACTTAAGCCTAAGGATTTCTCCTTTTTTCTTTTTTTTATTTTTTAATTAATCTTTTAGCTTTTTAATTTATAAAAAGAGTAAATTAATTACTGTTTGCTCTAGAGTAAGTAGTAGATGTTATTCCTAAGTTTTCTTATATATAGGAGTAATTCCTTGCTAACTATTGCCTGCTATATTTCTATTATTACCCATAGGTTTAATAACTATTTAAACAAGAGTTATTAATATATAATAAACCATACACTAGATAGTTAATATAGGGTAGATTCCCAAGGGATAAACCTAGAATAAGTTCTTTAGGTTTATATTAGCAGATGGGTTAAGAAACCTATAGGCAATAATATTACAATAATAGTTACCAGTAGAGATTAAAAGTGCTTTTTAATCTATAGATATAAAACTATATTAATAACTAGCTATTTAAGTTATTTAAATAAGCATAAGAATTAAACTTATATATCTAGTTAATATCTCTAGATTATAATAAATTAATATTAATTTTTATTAATCTTAAGTATACATTAAGATAGATTGAATATAATTTATATCAAGCCATTGCTGATTGGTGCGCCGGGCCTAAGTTAATCCGGCGATGCCTACCCGGTAGGCCCATAGTTGCGACCATAAGAGTTGGGTTGTAACAAGCTTATAGAGAATACTATATAAAAAAGTATAAAAGGTTAAATATTATATAATATTTTATAACTATATAACTATTAATTTTATTTAATTATTATAAATTAATTACTTTATTTTATATTATTTAATTTATTAATAAAATTGAAAATTTATTAAATTAGTAATTAATTTTTTAGTAATTAAACTTTTAGTTAGTAGTTTTGTTTTTAGTAACTACTATGAAACCCTGCGCCAGGTGCATGCGTCACCGTGGTGCTACAGGCAATTGCTCGGGTACATAGCCCGATATCTCTTAATACGCCCAAAATGAGAAAAAATCGAGAAGTAAGATTTACTGCCCTCCTATTTTAATGCGAGCTTGTTCTAGTAGGTATTTGGGACCTAGCGAAGTAGAATTAACTATGCGCTCTATATGGCGTAGTACAACTACTGATGCTGTGTAGCGTTACCTTATTCTGGTGAGTATATTCGCTATTACCCTTGGGAAACGCGTGAAACGCAATCCTACATGACTTGAGATTGCCGAATGTATGAACTTGTAACAGGCTTCCCACTCACCGGATTTGATCCAAGAGACATTTTGGGGTTTGCTATATCCAAATTGCCGCTTCCCGTTAGTGGATTTTAATATTTTATAATGTGTTATTAGTTCAGTGACGATCTCTAAGGACATGTGTGGTAATCCGATGATGCTTACCCCACATGTGTACCCTTAACAGCTTGAAGAGAGAAATTATGTGATATGTTGACTGCATTATCTGCATGTATTTGCATCTTGTACCTCCTTTGGGAAATGGCCGATCTTCCCCACTCATATTGAAGCTTACAGGTATGTACTCCGTATAATGCATAGAATCCCTAAGTACCTTATACCTACACACTATGCAGGTGGAAATGCCTTGTCATTGTTATTTAGACAAGGCCACATTGGTATATTTGGTCCACTTAATAGCGGATACCAGTACATGCTTGATTCCTTCTTATAGCCAGACTTCCATCGATAAATACTAAACAGCTGGTCCAAGATCTAAGGAACTCTTTGACCATATTCAAATCGACACAATCATTCCACCTTCAACGAAAAAAGACCGCATAACACTCTACATATATAAACAATAATGAAGGCATCTCTCGCTCTTCTAGCGGCTACTTGTGCCAGCAGCGCTCTAGCAACGTCCCTGAGCGGCATCGGTCCTAATATAGATGAGCGTGACGTTCTTACTGGAGACTTTAAGCGCACAGGGACCTATCCAGTAGAAGCCCAAGTTTACCCTAGACGCGATATTGAAGAAGATGGCGACATAAATATTCCGGATGCAGGACAAGGAAAAGGCAAAGGTGATGGTAAAGGAAAGGGCGATGGCAAAGGAAAGGGCGATGGCAAAGGAAAAGGTGATGGCAAAGGAAAAGGTGATGGCAAAGGAAAGGGCGATGGAAAGGGAAAAGGTGATGGAAAGGGTAAAGGTGACGGTAAGGGTAAAGGTGACGGTAAGGGTAAAGGCGATGGAAAGGGTAAAGGAGATGGGAAAGGGAAGGGGAAGGGGAAGGGGAAGGGGAAGGGGGACGGGAAGGGTGATGGCAAGGGAAAGGGGAATGGGAAAAGGACTTAATCAATTCTACATATAGAATATAATATCCTATTGCCTTTTATTACCTGAGTTACCTAAGCAAACATCATATACTACCCTCTGCTACATATCTTCACCGTGCAACTCTTAATTGCCCCCTTTGGCCATTTCGGTCTTGGGTTTTCTGCTTTAGCCACAAATGAATGATTTGCTCTCCTGCCGCTGGGTAGATTAACACCGTTATCTAGTCCACTGCCGATATCGATGCTACTAGATTAACGTATTGCCTATTGATACTCAGTTTATTAGTATAGACCTTGTCAACAGCTTCAATATAACAGAAAGTGGAGGGACCTACTGTCTTGACCTGGTAAAGTCTTCTTATTATAGCTCACTAAGTTAAGCAATGCTACTCTATGCTAGATTACTGTAGCCGTCTCGGAGAGCAATCTTGCGCTATAAGTTATATATATATATTCGCATTAATATATACTAGAATTCATTAGATTAGAAGTACTTTGCCAAGGTGCACAAGTATATCTTATAGAAGGGAATGTTAAGTAATTTCCTCGCCTCTTTGCTTCCCTCAGCAATGATTAAAAAATATCAAGGCAGCACTAGCCACGTGCTTTAACACTGCTGTATCAACCCCCTCCCCCCTTTTTATTTTTTAGATTCACTCATTTCTTATTCAAGTAGATCCCTACACCCAAAAAGAATAGGAAGATGATATGTAAGGTTTACAAAAGTAATACAAAAGTGTATGCTAAATCTACTTACGTGGCAAATAGTAGGCGAGACAAACAGTAGACAAAAACCAAAAACCCATTGGGAATGCCTATATCGACAAGTATTTATTCCCCAAGAATGTATATATGTTTGTTCTGGTTGAGAAAATACTTAGTGGTTAGGTTAACTGATGTGATAAGCCTAAATAGCCGCTACGGTCCAATTTTAAAGTGAGCATGGGGTCTGATTGAATGTCCCCATTGTAGCTAAATGCCGGCTACGTCCTTGAAGAAGCAGAAAGCTAGCTGGCTGTATTTACTTTTTAATTTTAAAAGAGGTTGATTGCCAGACTATATCCTTTGCGAAACTACTTTTCCAACTGTGGCTAAGGGGGCAGGCTTTGAGAGCGGGATCGGAAAAGGTTGTGACTCATACCATTTCCAGCGAGACTGCAGGCACAGATATAAATTTTCTGCATTTACCTCCACGGTCTGCACATTTCTGGTGTTCCCGATTTCCATTAAGTATTCTGGATTTCGTCTCACGCCTACTGCATTATCCCCCGCTTTTTCTTGACTTGCGTATGCCGCCATCCATAATGTTTTCAACACAGGCCACCGATAAGCCCATGAGCGAGAAACAGCGGCTGAAATTTGAGAAATTCAAGCAAAAGCAGGAGAATCTCGCACAAAAATCGCAACATATATCAGAAAGGAAGACAAAGAGGCAGGGTACCCCTATGGTCGCGGCCAAGGATTGGGTTGAGGAGACACCTGCTGGACATAGAAAAATTTTAAAGCCATTGGATGACGACTTTCACAAAGCCTATCTACCTAAGGTCGTCGAATCTGCGTGGTACAGCTTCTGGGAGGACCATGGCTTGTTTAAACCGCAAACTGAGAAGGATGGTAGACTGAAGCCAAAAGGCAAATATGTCATTGCCATGCCGCCGCCAAACGTATGTACTTGTGGATCCATTAGTGCAGTAGTCATTTTGTTAACGCCTGAAGTAGGTGACGGGGAAGCTACACATCGGACACGCCTTGGCGCTCTCACTGGAAGACACCCTCATCAGATGGCATCGCATGCGACAGTTCTCAACTCTTTTTATCCCTGGCTGCGATCATGCAGGTATTGCGACACAAGCTGTTGTCGAGAAGCAGCTCGCCAAGAATCCGATAAATGGCAAGTCCAGGAGGCAAGATTTCAGCCGAGAGGAATTCGTCCAACTATGCCAGGATTGGAAGGAAGACTATCAACAGAATATCAACAATGCGGCACGCAGACTCGGCATCTCTCCTGACTGGTCTCGGGAGGCCTTCACCATGAGTCCTCAATTGTCTAAAGCTGTCACTGAGACCTTCGTAAAGCTACACGAAGATGGCCTTATATACCGAGCCAACAAGCTTGTACATTGGTCGTGTCGCCTCTCCACGGCTTTGTCAACCCTAGAAGTCGACCAGAAGGAAATCGAAGGGACGACGAAGCTTGACGTGCCAGGCTATGACAGAAAGATTGAATTCGGAACACTTACGTATTTCAAATATCAGATCGAGGGCTCTGATCAAACGATAGAAGTTGCAACAACAAGGCCTGAAACGATGTTGGGCGATACTGGTATTGCTGTGCATCCTCAGGACGATCGATACACAAGTTTTGTCGGCAAGACTGCGATTCATCCGATAATACCCGGTAGAAAATTGCGGATCATTGCTGACGAATATGTTGAAAGAGAGTTTGGTACTGGCGCAGTCAAGCTGACACCCGCCCATGATTACAATGATTTCAACCTCGGCAAGAAACATGGCCTATCCTTCATCAACATCCTAAACGAAGACGGTACTCTTAACAGTAATGCTGGCCCTTATGCCGGAGAGAAGAGGTTTAATGCGAGATACCGTGTTATTGAGGAGCTCAAGAATCTTGGCCTCTATACGAAGTCGGAGCCGAACAAAATGACTGTTCCGATATGCAGCCGATCAGGAGACGTCGTTGAGCCGCTTCTCAAACCCCAATGGTGGATGAAGATGGAGTCACTGACGAAACCCGCGATTGCAGTGGTTGAGAGTGGTGAGTTGGTCATTAGGCCAGAGGTACAAAAGCGATCATACCTTCAGTGGATGAGAAACCTTCAGGACTGGTGCCTATCAAGACAATTGTGGTGGGGCCATCAGATACCAGCTTACTTTGTCAGTATCGAGGGCGAAGACGCCGGTGATGATGCTGATGACAAATATTGGGTGTGTGGCAGAACAGAACGTGAAGCTCGTGAAAAAGCGGAGAAAAGGTTCACAGACAAGAACCTGACGCTTAAGCGTGATGAGGATGTCTTAGACACCTGGTTCAGCTCTGGGCTTTGGCCTTTTAGCACCCTTGGATGGCCAGATCAGACGGCAGATTTTGAAAAATATTTTCCAAATACCACTATGGAGACTGGCTGGGACATTATCCCGTTCTGGGTGAGCCGTATGATTATGTTCTCTCTGAAATTGACTGGAAAAGTGCCTTTTACTGAGGTCTACTGTCATGGCTTGATTCGTGACAGTGAAGGTCGAAAAATGTCCAAGTCGCTCGGTAATGTTGTTGATCCGATTGATATAATCGATGGTATTAGTCTTGATGGCCTGCACCAGAAGCTACGGCAAGGGAACCTGGCCCAGAGCGAGATAAAAAATGCTGAAAAATACCAGAAGAAGGCCTTCCCGCATGGTATTCCCGACATCGGGGCCGATGCGTTGCGGTTCTCACTTATCAACTATACACAGTCATCCGGCGGTGACATTAATTTCGACATAAAGACGATGCACGGCTATAGAAAATTTTGCAATAAGATCTACCAGGCCACCAAATACGTCCTTGGCAAGCTGGGCAATGATTTCGTTCCTCGTGAGAGTTCTGCTCTAACAGGGAAAGAGAGTCTGCCTGAGAGATGGATCTTGACAAAAATGAATACTGCCGCAAAACATATCAACCAGGCACTCGAGGCGCGTGAATTCTCAAAATCGACCCGGATTAGTTATCAGTTCTTGTACGATGAGCTGTTTGACATCTATATTGAGAATTCCAAGTCGATAATATCGGATGGGACACCCGAGGAAGCTCGTTCAGCCATGGATACGCTTTACACCACGCTCGAATCTGGCCTACGACTTGTGTCTCCATTCATGCCCTTCTTAACTGAAGAGCTTTGGCAGCGGCTGCCACGCAGACCAGGCGATGATACATCTTCAATTTCGATCGCCGAGTATCCAGAGTTTGAGGAATCCTTCCATGATCCGAAGTCTGAGGTAGCCTATGAACTCGTACTGGGCTGCTCGAGAGGCCTCCGTTCTCTCTTGGCGGACTATGTTGTTAAGGATAAAGGCATAGCTTATATCATACCTCTCAGTCAAACGCCACATGACACAGCGTCTGCTCAACTCTCCGCGATCAAGTCACTCAGTGGCAAGACACCAGTGGATATTCGCATTCTGCCAGTTGGAAGTGCCAGCCCATTTGGTTGCGCAGTCTTCCCTGTTTCCACTGAGGTGAATGTCTATCTTGAAGTCAAGGATCGTATACAAGATGCTGGAAAAGAGGTTGAAAAGTTCAAGGCAAAGTTAGCCGAGACAAGAAGGGACCAAGAGGATAATGAAACGCACAGGGCAGATCTCAGTAAATTACAGGACATTAATGTCACCGAGGCCAGACAATTGGTTGAGCGTCGAAAACTGGATCTCGAAGCTAGATCGCAGGCATTGCAAGAGACAATCGTCATGTTTCAGAAGATGATGGTTTAGGGCGAGCGGCGCATGCTAGGCCCATAGAATGGCTAAAATATGGGACATACCAACCAGACGACGCTACCAGGCTAGGATGTAAATATTTGAACAGTCATGCCCTAACACGTTTTGTAGCCTGGTGGATAGATGTGGGTAGATAAATGCCAGCTGGATAGTCCCTTTTTCATAACGGCTGCTTACTCCGTTTTTGCCGTTAGCAACGAACGCCTTCACCCCTACTGGGCGCTGAAGGCAGCTCTCAATTATGCAAATCGACACTTACTATTCCACAGAGGATTGTTTTGTTTCTTTACTGCTCCTAACATTTGAGACAATTACTGCGGTGGCCTTGAATCTTATACATAGCTGGAGGTGGAGAGGAGAGATAGGGGAAGCCGGCGGAAAGCACGAACGACATTCTTTTAAATCCCTTTTATTTGCGCAATAACAAAGCAATATTTACTATAAAATATTTCGTGGTCGCCCTTTTCAAGGCCTTGTGATAAGAACCATCGTCTTGTTGTTTGCAAGGATATCACTGTACAGCACCCCGCTCGCCCATGAGATCTCTATAGAGCTCTTTCTCTGCCTCAAATCCGCAATGGGATAAATCAAAATGCACGCATAGCATCAATAAAGCCCCACTCTGTCCCAGTTCCAAACTCCGTCCAGAATGCCCAAGTCCATTTCCAAAAACTCGGAATCATCTGCCGCCAAGATGTTTTCTACAGATCGCAATCCCTCGTGCGACTCAGAGTGCAAATGGCTACTTGACTCATTGATCGAATGAAACAAGTCATCGTTTGCTGGTTCAAGAATGCTGTTCAGAGCCTGTGTGGTGATATTGGCTTTGCCAATGCTCTTTAGCTCCTCGAGTACGATCTTTTCCGTCGGATATAAATTAATACGCCTCTTGAGTGTTGAGAGAATGCTCCATGTGATGTCGCCCATCTTCGTGCAACCGCGCAGCCGGTGAGAAATATGTAACGCTTGTCCAATGGCGTAAATAACTTCCGATCGTCGAGGGATCACTGTGCCATTAACATCGTGTATCAGCAAAGAACTTAATAGCGCTGCATTGTCGAAAGGGCAAAAGGCGACCATGTAGTATTTTGCTTGTTGTGGAAAGCAAAAGTCAAAAGTGTCTTTACTAATAGACATAGCCTTCAGACTAAGGTTGACGACCTGATGTATTAACATCGTGGTTTCCGAATCAAGTCCAGTTTCAAGATGATTTGTCGTCGAGAATATTTGACATGAGGTCAGAATGGACCGTACAAGTATCACTTGCGTCATATAGCCTATACAGTGAAGTTGCAGACGTTGAAATGGTATATATGGATAACTGTATATATGGATAACTGCCGTCCCAACACTTGTCTGGGTTGACAATACTGAATACTGGTGGTAAAGACAACATCCATTTTTCCACACAGGCGATCTTGCTTTGTAGGTTCGATCTGTCAACACGGTCCCCTTCTCCCAACTGCCTGGCAAGCTGACACTCCAATATCTTAGCGACAATGTAGGATGGAGCGTTTGGATCAGCTCCAGACTGGTCTAAACCAGGATTGGGGAGCGGAACAGGAGCTTCTGATTGGATTATCGGAGGACGATTAAAGCTTGCGGTCATGTATCTTGTAGATATGATTGTTAGCCATGACGCATAAGTAGAGGCCAGGGCACCAAGTGGCCACAACTCAATCAACAACTCACCTATCCCAAGTGTATAAGGCGCACCATAGCCTTCGTCTGATTTCCAGGTCGAATTCATTCATCTCATCAGAAAAAACGTCCCTGTGGATTCCTTGAAGCATCCGAAATCAGTGAACCCAATGTCTAAATGGTCATCTGCCAACGGAGAACTATACCGATTTCTTGGGATTGCCTCACGGCAGCACCAAGCTCATGCCATGACTTAACAAAATCGGCCTGTCCCTTATGCCATGTGGCAGCTAGAAAAAGTTGCTGCGCAATGAGAAGGCCGCCGGTTCCTGGAGATAAAAAGCTACTGATAATTTGCGCAGCATCATGGTATGTCTTGCTCAAATTTTGGGTGGAGTCACCTAGATCTATTTCAAGCTGCGACGAAGCATGTGGCGACAGAAACTGCGTAGAGTTTGCACAGATGCGAAGTATCAGGCAAGTGAGTGCCACGGCTGACGGGCGGCGTAAGCTTTGAGCATCGCGGCGTTCAGACCACCAGTCGACGTAGACGGCCATGAAAGATGGCTGGTGTAAAATCCCATAGTGGTGGTTGACATTATCGAAGAAGTTTTTTAAAAGCATGTCCGTATAAGGCCGTGGTGAGACAGCACGAGAGGCTTGGATAACTAGCTCCGGAAGAGGCTCGGAAGAATCCGCATATTGAGTCTCCTGCGAGTCAAAACGAATCAGTAGGGACATTCTACATTTTACATACACCTTGAGCCTTAATAAGACGACTTACCATGATACTGCCAAAGAGCGCATCATTCTTCGCGTACATGTAACCTAGCATATGCACCATAGATGCTGGGCCTGTATTACTCGCAGTGTCGTCTTGCGACTCTGAGACAGAGTTGGTGGAAGCGGTCGAAGGTGTGTCCTTCGGAGACCTTGTTCGTGCTCCATTTAGCCTGAGGCTATCGAGTGAGATGGAATAAACATGCAGGTAGTCTAGGGAGGCTTTGGGCCACTTACCGCCGATGGCTTCGAGTCGCCTGTGAGAATTGACACGTGTGTGCCATTTTTCGGGTCGTGCATTGATTGCATGGCCATCGACAGTCACACTTCTTCTTCATCTTTCGGCACTCGAGGCACGCTGTGACCGTGCGGCCTCGATAGCGTTTGCCCACATTCGTCTTTTCAAGATTCATCGTGATTTGTGTTACAATAACGTTATGCCAAAGCTATTGATACAAGCGCTACGTTTGTTTGTTTGTTTATTACGACGTGTCCCGCGGCCGACATATAGCGGGAAATAAAATCATTGTCGGCTTTTGTTGCACAAGCAAAGGTCTAGCGCGAAACTGCTGACTGATACTCCGAGCCGCAGCGGGTTTCATCAGCATTATCGGAAAAGCAAGTAAAGGAAGATCCTGGAATGCGCTGCTAAGATATCTATAAAATGACTTCTATGCAGTATATATTAGAGATGAAAAATCACTTTAATCGTGTCAAAATACAAAAACGATAAGCAAATATTCCAGGATCATAAATACATTAACAACCCATCGATATCCTTCATCTGTCTCACAACATATGATCAAGCGTCCATAAAGATTGCCAAAAAAAAAAAAAAAAAAAAAAAAAAAAGATTAGCTGGATTATTTCAACATCATGGCACCTCTTATATGGTTTATTACTGGAGCAAACGCCGGGTTCGGCCTCCTACTCGCAAATCTAGCGCTGTCCAAGGGTGATACAGTTGTTGCGACTGCCAGGAGCCTCTCGAAATTTCCAAGGTCTCTTATAGAGAATCCCAAGGCTGATTTGGTGGAAACAGAGATCACCGCATCAGCCACCAGTATAACCGAATTGGTCGTTGCCGCTGCTGCTAAACATGGCCGTATTGATGTTTTGGTTAACAACGCAGGATTTGGACATATTGGCGCCGTTGAGGAAATATCAGACGAACAAGCTCGATACCAATTTGACGTCAACTTTTTTGGTTTGCTTAATTTCACAAGAGCTGTGATCCCACACATGAGAAAACAGGGTTCTGGCGTCATTGTGCAGCTTTCTAGTGGCGTGGGAATTCTCGGCGCCCTTGGTGGTCCGATTTACTCTGCTTCCAAGTTCGCCGTTGAAGGATTGAGCGAGGCTATGGCTAACGAGCTTAAGCCTTTTGGCATCCGCGTTTACATCATTGAGCCCGGGATTTTCCGGACCGACTTCTTGAAACCTATCTCGAATGGTCAAAATGTGGGCCGCCATTTGGAAGGATATGTGAATTTGGAAGAGATGCTCGGTGGTATGCATGGAAAGCAGCCTGGGAATGCAGAGCTTGGCATCCAGCGCATGTATGAGGTAGTCACTGGAACAGGATTGGCCACTGGATTGGAAGATCAACTTCGTTTCCCTTTGGGTTCCGACTGCTACTCAATGCTTGAAACGAAACTTAAGATGCTAAACGAGACAGCCGATAAAGTAAAGCATGTTTCTTTAAGCACTGATTATTAGATACTTCAGAAACATGCCTCGATAGATAGTATAGCTGATAATATGAGAAGGAAAATGTTGACATGAAATATTTTTACCTTCACCTTGAATATGGGGAGTAATTGAAATGGATATTCAACCTAGATGATGATCGTGGGGAGTGCTTTGCCAAATTTTTGGTAGACGATTGTCAAGATTGCCAAGACTTAATTGACTGGCCAGGCAAGAATTCAAATTTAGCTGTGATAATGAACGTGACAACGGAGGCTTTGAGTTTACTCGTGAGAATACTTTAATGCTAAGGCCGATGGAGTGCATCACTATTGCTGTGGTGCAGGAATATCAGCGGATGAGACAACTATGTCCGCTCTTTGGGGTCCTTTAACCCCACATCTCTATAGTCCCAGAAACAACCCTCCAGAGTAGGACCGACATCAACTTCTAGCCAATTAGGCCGTCACAAGATCTTGGTAGCGTGATTTCAGTGCTGTTAAACCTGCGGCAACTAGATAATATAGATGGCATTAGGGCAAGCTATAACAATCAAGTACTTCCTAAAGATGCCAGTTGAGTAGCAATTTCTCTCAGCTTAGTCTCGAGGAGCTCCACTGGTGGGCACCTTACCAGCATGCATTCTCCCTACATTAGATGATACCGATAACACGCAGTCGCCATCTTCCCTCTACCATAAAGCTCCCGTAAAGCCTAAGACACCTCCAAAGTGGCCGAGCCACGCGTTCTCCTCAGAGTCTTCCATTTTGAAGAGACAGTGGCCTATCTCAGCAGCCACATTTGTAGTTGGCCGCCACATCTTCATTGTCTCTAAGGATTCTGTGTTTAGAAGTCTTCCATCGCGAAGAGCAGTTGCAAATTTGACAAGATCAGATGGCGAGGAAAACATATCGCCGGCTATCCATTCAACTGATAGGTTAGACGCAGTGCAGTCTATAAGCTTGCCGTCATCAATTTCCGGTAAAGCAGGATTCATGCCTGCCGTCTCGCGATACAATTTTGTAGCAAACTGATATCGCCGTGGTATATTGCCTTTGTTCTTGGATTCGAATACCTCCAGAAAAGTGTGCTCCATGCCAAGCGGTTCTATAATTCTTCGACAGATTTCTACTTCTGCCGTATTTTGTGTGATATTCTCAATTACGTAGCCCAGAAGCTCGTAGTTTGTATTGGAATAGTAGTAGCTGCCACGTTCCGGAGCCGAAGGAATATAGAGAAATGATATTCGTATTTAATGCCAGCTAATCTAAGGCTATACCGATCTATGCGCCTCGCCAAACTGCAATGCTTGGTATCCACCTCACCCCTGGCTTACCACTCCAGATATTAGGTAGAGCCATTTTCCATGCCATAACAACATTTATCCTACAGAGGAACGTAAAATGGAGAATTGGGATAAGAGAAATTGCTTTTATTTTTACTTTTGAGAAGGCGCCTGTCTTTAGAAGGCGTCTGTAACAAGGGGGCATCGGTAGGGAAAGATATTGATTAGTATTTCTAGAAGTAAAGAACTAAGAGTACAATAGCCTGAGACTTCCATGTCGATGCGAATCTATAATATAAGCTAATCAAAAAAACTTACATTTGGCTTGAGAATGGTCCGTGTTATAAATAGTTGCTCTCGAGCGATCCACTTGAAGCTCAGTGGAGCGTTCCAACTAGCTGTTCCCTATAGCTTTAGAGGGTATCAATATATCAACATGCAAGCTACAGTGAGCCGTTATTTATATACCTTGGCCGCCACCATTTATGCCTCTTAAAAGAATGTTATAACATTATACACAAGCGCGATATTATAGTGGACAAGTTCTGTATTATAGCGGATAAGTGCTGTATTTTATTAGTAAGCCAGTACTATAAGCAATACAGGTTTCGCTTTTTTAAATATATAATACACCTGCTTGAATACTGAACGAATCTTCCTTTGGTATCCAGCATGTATAATGTAAAGTTTAGATATCCTTATTACAATAATGAATATATAAGAATAAATATAATATTTAATTGAGGTTAGTAAACCTTTCTCTCCCTCCTCTCTCCCTTAGCAAAGTGGTGAGGTTCGACTTAGCTAACAATGGCCTTACGGTGTATAAATAAAGATAAAGGTTGTGGCTCCTTCGCGCAGTAGCAAATAATATTACCCTAGAACTTTTATTGACTTTAAGTAACAAGCTACACCACTCTCGTGGGATGGGAACACTATTATAACTTATTATTTACCTTCCCTAAGTAAGGCTCAATTAGAACTCAAAAACAAAAGGATGCTAAAAGATGCGAAGCTATTAGGACAAAGTACATGACCTACAATTGTGGGCTATAATTATTTCTACCCCATCTTCGGATTCGACAGGACCGCCTCTAGACTGGTAGAACAGACAGACTTTCTATCTATCTGCGGGCACTGCCAATTCTCCGGCCAAACATACAATGTTCAATTACTTTTGGGGTCATATACTACGGATTAGAAGAAACATCTGTTGAAATCATATATATACTAAGCCTTTACACTAAATTTAGTGGTTCGGTTGTAAATTAGTTGTCTTGGAACACCGAGAAATATCACGGTGCTGTTCTTGAATAAAGCAAAAAATTCCTGGATATTCGATAATAGTTTCCTACCCTACAATATAATTTGGGAAAGTTCAGTGTTGGCATTTCGCCTGATGGAGATTTCGACAGAGACAAAAGAAGAACGCAAAGGTGATGGACAATAATATATCTAGAGTCTAAGAGAAAATACACCTCCCCGCAATATTTACCGCAGCCGTTAGACACCCTCAGTTAAGATTCATAACACGATTGGTGCTCGATAATATAAAGAGTGAGGTTGGTGGGATTGCTTAAGCTGCCTCACAGAGGTATACAACTTAGCAAAGCGCCTTCAATATTTTTTTAAAAATCCTAATTAGGCGGGAGGGATTCAGGGTAAAGACGGCTTTCAAGATTGCTCATTAAATTATGTAGTCTGAGATACTAACACTAGTAATTAATCAGCATCTTTCTGACCACATGTGGAAGTGAGCTGAATACGAAAAGTTCCACCTTGACCCAGTATGTAATGTCATAATTGTGGATGTTCCAAAAAGCCCTCAAATTTTGCCTGGTAACGAAGCTGTTAGAATGCATATAACACATATCGACGCCTCCGGATATCTCTACAAAAGTAGCTTTAAAATAGTGTTTAATCTATGATAGTATAAGTAGAAAAACAATTAAGAATTGTAAACGCTATGCAATTTTGCGAGCTAAGATCTTGCAGCAGAAGCTTAATTAAAATAGTTTATTCTTAACTAGCTCGTATGTAATAATTCTAAGTGCTGGCACTACTAAACGCGAGGGTCATTAGAGGGAGAGAAATAGCAAGTAGGGCAGTCAATGAAGAAACCTTGAAAAATAACAAAAAAAAATAAAAGGTATGGGGTGGGGAATATGTTTTATGTAATTATTGTATAAGTTCGTTGGCCTTGAACTCTTGAGTAGCTTAAACACTTTATTCTTTATGCTCTGAGGAAAATATTTTTGGACTTAGTTATTGTAACGCCAGCATATTATACTATACTCACTTGCCGTCCCCCTAAGCCGTTGCCGGTCTTCCCGTGAACTAGGCGAGGTTTCTTGTCCGGATTCTACAACTTCACTTTGGTCTCTTGAACTTTTTATAACATTACAATTGCTTAGGATATTTCTCTCATTTCTTCAATTCTCTCTCTTTTAACTTATAAAAAGTACCTTAAAGTACAAGCGCAGCTTAGACTTTTCTTATAGCATTATTCATACAGGAGACATATTTGTACATATACATTCAGAACTTACTCCATGGAGATATTTGAGGCCGCGGACATTTACGCAGGTAAATTGGCTAGATTTAGAGGGGGGCTGGAACGTTTCCTCAAATATAAGGCGTAGCTTTGACTTGGGAATTTAGTGGAAACGGGGGTTTATCTCCCTCGGCAGATTGCAACCGACGCCGAGGGTTACATAGCTGCAACCCCAAGGGGTGGGTAGGGGGGAAAATACTGCTGCACGTCACATACAAATTATAGTGGTATACTAGCGATATTTTTTTTGGCTATCGCATGGCCCGACAGGAATTGCCGATTCCGACCCCTGACACGTATTTTTCGGTGGTCCCCGTCCCGCTAATCAGATAGAAATTTCCAGCCGGCCGTGCCGTTTCCCTCAGCCACACAGATCTTGGGTATCCATAAACGTCAACCTGAGTAGCGCATAAGTGGGGGCTGTTGAGATCTTGGGAAAGCGAGATGCATTACAGTGTAGGATTCAGGCACGCTGTCTCTTCGACCTCATGCATTGGTCAATAATATTAGATATGGCATTTTGTGCTATTTGCGTAACACTATCATTTCACTATTATCGATGAAACTTAGATTTCTCATTTTAAATTTATATTTTGCAAAGACGGTACTTGCTTCCTAGCAAGACTATATTACTACAATACGTTTACTCAACTCTTTGAGCGTTATAAAAAGAAGGAGTAGCTGGCTGAGAAGACTGGTATTACTGATATGTAGTCTAAATATTGCATTAAGAAGAGAACCCCTAAGCCTTTATTGCGTCATTTGATAATAACTGTATCCCTAATCACCCCTTTACCCTTGAGCCAGCGGCAATGAAAGGTTATCTCTGCATTACGTTTACACAAGATAACAAAATATCTCTCTATCCACTGTTATTTCGCCCCTCCTCGTGGGTACTTGGCTGAAAAAAAGGACCCAAATAAATACATACGCAACGGGATGCATCGGATACTCCGGCACCCGTTCATAAGAAACCCATATATAACATCCCCAACATCTCCTACAGATAAATCACTTTGAAATGGCATGGATGGAATGTGCGTTGTTTGCTTTCTTCCATCCAGATAAAATACAGCCATTATGGAGCAAAACGATCTTTTCAACGACTCTGAGGCAGATTTGCCTGAAACAAAAGAACATGGAACTCGCACCGTTCCTCATCGCGATATGCGGGAAGCCTCCAGTGCAGAAACTCTCACCTTCTACCATGCAGACAACACATCCACGCCTAAGAAGAATGCGGAATGGGGTATGACTCCTCAACTGATTCGTCAACAAGAGCGTGAAGCCGCAGCAGGATTCAAGAGACGCGAGCTCGGCGTTACCTGGGACAATCTCACAGTAGAGGTCCCTGCTGCTTCGGCGGCTGTCAAGGAAAATCAATTTTCTCAATACAACATACCACAGCTTTACAAAGACTGGCGCCAGAAGCCGCCTATGAAATGCATTTTAAAGGACAGCCACGGTTGTGTGAAACCCGGAGAAATGCTACTGGTCTTGGGTCGCCCGGGATCAGGCTGTACTACCCTCCTCAAGCTACTTTCCAATCGTCGTCTAGGATACCATACAATCAAAGGCAATGTCCGGTTTGGGAACATGACTGAAAAAGAGGCTTCTCAGTATCGATCCCAGATCGTGATGAATACTGAAGAGGAGCTTTTCTATCCTCGACTGACGGTCGGCCAGACAATGGACTTTGCTACTAGGCTTAAAGTTCCTGCTCATCTTCCGGACGGCACTAGTTCAGAGAAGGATCATACAGCCGATACCAAACAATTCCTTTTAGAATCTATGGGAATCGCTCATACATTTGAAACAAAAGTTGGGAATGAGTTTGTTCGAGGTGTGTCTGGTGGTGAACGGAAACGTGTGTCGATTATCGAATGTCTGGCCACCAGAGGATCAGTATTCTGTTGGGACAACAGCACACGCGGCCTTGATGCAAGCACAGCATTAGAATGGGCCAAGGCTCTTCGCGCCATGACCGACGTCCAGGGGCTTTCGACTATCGTCACCCTATATCAAGCTGGAAATGGAATCTACAACCTTTTCGATAAAGTTTTGGTTTTGGATGAAGGAAAACAGGTTTTCTACGGCCCCGCTGCAGCAGCAAAGCCATTCATGGAAAATCTGGGGTTTGTGTATACTGATGGTGCTAATATTGGTACTGCATTTACTATTCCGTTTTGATGTTTATGATAATAGCACTACTAACTAGAGTTAAAGGTGACTTTCTTACCGGTGTAACCGTGCCCACTGAGCGAAAAATCCAACCTGGCTTTGAAAACACATTCCCAAGGAATGCTGATGCCATTTTGGCAGAGTACGAGCGATCTCCGATTCGAAGCTCTATGGCGTCGGAATACGACTATCCAAATACCCAGGATGCGCGTGACCGAACCGAGTCATTCAAAGAATCCATTGCCTTTGAAAAAAATAAACATTTACCGAACAATACGATCCTCACCACTAGCTTCATGACACAGCTCAAGGCGTGTACCCTCCGTCAATATCAGATTCTGTGGGGCGAAAAATCGACCTTTTTGATCAAACAGTTTCTATCACTGGCTATGTCTTTGATTGCTGGCGCCTGCTTCTATAACTCCCCCGATACATCTGCTGGCCTTTTTACCAAAGGCGGTGCGGTCTTCTTCTCCCTCTTGTATAATTGCATTGTCGCTATGTCTGAAGTCACAGAGTCGTTTAAGGGGCGACCCGTCCTGGTTAAACACAAGTCCTTTGGATTCTATCATCCGTCCGCATTTTGTCTGGCACAAATTACAGCAGATGTCCCCGTCTTATTGTTACAGTGCACTATTTTCACTGTTGTGATATACTGGATGACAGGGCTCAAAGCCACTGCATCAGCATTCTTTACTTTCTGGGCCATCCTTTGGGCAACGACTCTGGTGAGTGAAACATATCGCACGTAGCCTTTCATAATCTTCTAAACTGACCAATAAAAGTGTGTTACGACTTTATTTAGAAGCATTGGTGCTGCATTTAGTACTTTCGAAGCCGCTTCGAAGATCTCCGGAACGGCCATTAAGGGTATTGTCATGTACGCTGGATATATGATCCCGAAACCGCAGATCAAGAACTGGTTTCTAGAACTGTATTATACCAACCCATTTGCATATGCATTCCAAGCAGCCTTATCGAATGAATTCCACGACCAACATATTCCCTGCGTGGGCACCAATCTCGTACCTAGTGGACCTGGATACGAGAATGTTGATTCTGCTAACAGGGCCTGCACTGGAGTTGGTGGCGCTTTGCCCGGTGCAGATTATGTGACTGGTGACCAGTATCTTTCTTCGTTGCATTACAATCATTCTCAGCTCTGGAGAAATTATGGTATTGTTTGGGTTTGGTGGGCCTTATTTGCCACCATTACCATTGTCTGCACATGCTTTTGGAATGCTGGAGGCGGCAGCGGTGCTTCACTGCTGATTCCCCGCGAAAAACTCAACAAGTTTCGCGCCTCTGTGGATGAAGAATCACAGAGTCAAGGAGCAGAGCAATCGAAAGAAACCACCGTTGGCAACGGAACGGGAGAAGTGAATGGTAACTTATCTCGTAACACCTCCATCTTCACCTGGAAGAACCTCAAGTACACAGTCAAAACTCCATCAGGTGATCGTGTGCTCTTGGACAATATCCATGGATGGGTCAAACCAGGTATGCTTGGAGCATTAATGGGTTCTTCTGGCGCCGGTAAGACCACCTTGCTCGATGTCCTCGCCCAAAGGAAAACCGACGGCACTATCAACGGTAATATTCTTGTTGATGGCCGCCCTTTACCAGTTTCATTCCAAAGAATGGCTGGGTATTGTGAGCAATTGGATGTCCATGAGCCGTTTGCCACAGTCCGTGAAGCTCTTGAATTTTCCGCTTTACTACGCCAGCCCCGAACAACTCCAAAAGCCGAAAAGCTCAAGTACGTTGAAACCATTATTGACCTTTTGGAACTCCATGATTTGGCAGATACGCTTATTGGCACTGTCGGAAATGGTCTTAGTGTAGAGCAGAGGAAGCGTGTTACAATTGGTGTTGAACTAGTGTCCAAGCCAAGCATCTTGATCTTCCTTGATGAACCTACGTCTGGTCTAGATGGGCAATCTGCATATAACACTGTTCGTTTCCTGCGCAAACTGGCTGATGTTGGCCAAGCTGTGTTGGTCACAATTCATCAACCATCAGCGCAGTTGTTTGCACAGTTCGATACTCTCTTGCTTCTGGCACGCGGAGGTAAAACGGTTTACTTCGGCGACATTGGCGATAATGGGAAGACTATCAAGGAGTACTTTGGGCAATACGGTGCTGTTTGTCCCATCGAGGCCAATCCCGCTGAGTTCATGATCGACGTCGTCACTGGTGGCATTGAAAGCGTCAAGAACAAGGACTGGCATCAAATTTGGCTCGAATCTCCTGAACACGATCGAATGCTCACTGAACTCGATAATATGGTCTCCGAAGCTGCTGCTAAACCGGCTGGAACTGTTGATGATGGCCACGAATTCTCAATGCCAATGTGGGAACAGATCAAAATTGTAACTCAGCGCATGAATACTGCTCTATTCCGAAATACCAACTACATTAACAACAAGTTTTCATTACATATCATTTCTGCATTATTAAACGGATTTTCCTTCTGGAGAGTTGGTGGTAGCGTATCCGACCTGGAACTGAAGATGTTCACAGTTTTCAATTTTGTCTTCGTTGCACCCGGTGTTATTAACCAACTTCAACCACTTTTCATCCAAAGACGGGATATCTACGACGCGCGTGAGAAAAAGTCCAAGATGTACTCTTGGGTTTCCTTTGTTATTGGTCTAATTGTTTCCGAGTTCCCCTACCTCTGCGTATGCGCGGTTCTCTATTTCGTGTGTTGGTATTACTGCGCGCGATTGAATGATAATTCAAATCGCTCCGGCGCTACGTTTTTCATTATGCTTATATATGAATTTGTCTATACGGGTATCGGCCAATTCATAGCTGCTTATGCACCCAATCCCACATTCGCGGCTCTGGTAAACCCTCTCATTATCAGCATACTCACCCTGTTTTGCGGCATCTTTGTACCATATAGACAGCTGAATGTCTTCTGGAAATATTGGTTATACTGGTTGAACCCCTTCAACTACGTTGTCTCGGGTATGCTGACTTTCACTATCTGGGGTGCTGGGGTTCACTGTAAGGAGGAAGAATTTGCCGTATTTGACCCAAGCAATGGAACATGCGCCGACTATCTCCGCGAGTATATTGCCGGAAACGGTTGGCGGATTAATTTGACTAACCCAGATGCTACATCAGGCTGCCGAGTCTGTGAATATAAGAATGGTAGCGACTTTTTGACAACGCTCAACATCAACCACTACTATTACGGCTGGAGAGATGCAGCAATCACGGTGATCTTCGCTATCTCTGGATACGCACTAGTATTTGGCATGATGAAGCTTCGAACTAAAGCATCAAAGAAAGCCGAGTAAGCAAAAATAAATGGCACCGTGCAGGAAGACAGGGCAGTCCAAATTGAGAGCTTTCGGAAATAAGGAAATAGATAATTTGTGTTTTAAATACAATTAGAATATTAGAATATTAGAATGTTAGACTATTAGACGATTAGAAGATTAGAATATTAGAAGGTTACTGGAATTTATATTATAAAATTATTAATTGATCTAATTCTATAAAAAGGGGAGGCTTTATCCCCTATCCAAGCAGTTGTATTCTGTATCTAATGACCTAAACTTTTTACTACTTTGACGAGACTCTGCAACCTGTCTTCTTCGCATGGATGGACGCTAGGATTACTATTTAAGACAGCATAAAGAAATTAAGTTTTCTTTACTAGATAGAAAAACAGCATAAGTTCGCTACGCAAATTGACCCCTAGCTGCTGCAGGAGATTTGTTCTTGAGAGAATGAAACAGTACGGGCTTCGTCAAATTGTTTTGTAACTTATTTTTGCTCTGTGGTCTTAATATCGGTACAATACGGCAGGTACCCACAGATGTGTTTGTATGCGCGAGCCAGTTCGAATGTGCGTTCCCGACTTATCAGTAAACTACTGCTGGTTAATCTTTATAAAATAAATAAAAATTTACAAGTTCCTTAGAGTATATATACATAATTTTTTTTTTTTACTAATATTAACATCTTCTTATTGTATATCAAATACTATGAATTTTATATAATTTATCTATTAACTTTAACTAATGTCTATTGGTATATTTTAATTTATATAGATTATATACAGTGGGGTATTAAAAGTCTTTTATTGCCCCCCTAACTAAGACTACTATTTAGGCGATTATAAAAATATTTTTTAACTACTATAAACTTTAAAAATTTATAAAAAATTTAATTCTTCTTTAAAATAAGTGCTTTAGGGACTATTTTATCTTTAAATCACCGGGCTAATTAGGAAATTTCTTCTAAAATGCATGTAGTATTTATTATAACTATAAATGCAGGTGTAAGTTAGGTCTAGACTGGGCGCACTTTCGGCGTCTTTCAACAGGCTGTCTTCTATATTATTAAACGCTTTAAAAAAACTAGTTTTTTACATTCAGCACCTTAAATTAAATATCCTTTAAGTATTTTACTTTATAATAATTAAGCAATAGTATATATAGTATATTAAAACTTTTATATAACCTAAGAAATAATCTTTTTTAATTTATTTTTTAAAATTAATGCTTTAATATTTTAATAAACTTTAGGTAATAATAGTATTTATAAATATAAAGTTAAAAAAAAGCTTTTTTTTATTAAAAAAAAATAAAAAATAACCTTTTATAATATAAAAGTTAAAAAAGAAAAGACTATAAATTAATATAAATGTATTAAGTTAAAGTTAATAGGTTATTGTAGTTTTAATTTTAAAATATAAGTATATTTTTTAAATAAATATTTTATATAAAATATATATATTAACTTTATAAATTAAATATAAAAAAATACCTTTAAAGTATATATATTAAAGTATATAAATATTAAAGGCAGTTTTTAATTATAAATTATAATAATAATATAAGTAGTAATTTAAAAAATTAAGTAAAGCCTTTTAATTATTATAATTTAAAATATTAATACCTAAAAGTAAAAATTTACTTTATAAAGCTATATTAAAGTATTAAAAAAAGAATTAATTTTTTTTTATAATAAAACTTATTATTTTATATAAAATAATACTTTTATTTATAAATTACTAGCAGTAAAAGTATTTTTTTTTTAATTATAAAGTTTTAATTTTTAAAGTACTACCCTATAGCTTAAATTTTAACCTTATAAAATATATATAGTATATATTAAAGCATAAACTTTATAAATTATTCCCTAAACTCTTTAATTTATAAAAAAATTTATAAAATATTAAAGTATTTAAAAAATACTTATAAAAAGCATAAGCTATATTTAATTAAAATAAAATTATAGCATTAATAAATAATATTAAATATTAGCAGCAATAATATATTATTACTAAAGGTTAGTAAATTAAATATTAAAAATTAATAAAATAAATTCCTTTTTAGCTATTTTCTTTATTTTTAGCTATAAAATTAAGTAAAATAAAAGTATTTTTGTTATATAGTTATATCCTTTAGCAGTTGCGGCTACCTAGCCTACAAGAGACTTTTAACTAGGCGCTGTACTTTAGAAGTACTCTGCTATAAGGTATAAAGATAAGCGCTGTAATTTAGTTGATAGGCACTGTAACTCGGCGCTCTAAGTCACCCGACGCAGCTTCCTTTTACACGTCCCGCCATTTTGGATACATGTATACCTACTCGGAAACCGGATATATTGACATGGATAAATTTTCCCGCGCACATATGCAGTATTAAAATTGCTTTCTGTACTTCATCTGAATGTAAACAAATAGTTTAATATAGAATTATGTATACATTAAAACTATATCGTAGCTTCAAAGGCTGTCTAGTATTTCACTGGTCCAGGTCCAGAGTTTGTTAGCTAACTCTTCATTCTTGGCAGTCTTATCCTTATTCACATCGCTATTGCTCAATACTCCTACCGGGATGTAGTATGCTCCATTAAAAAGATCATTCCGGTTCGCCCCTGCGGCTGCCCACAATTGATTGAGGACGCCCTCCTCCGGCGTAAGAATGGAAACGCCTTGAATCGCGTTTGCAATATATAGGAAAGCCGAGTCTGCAAAGGACGAGGTGTTTACCAAATCTGTTCTCACAACGCCAGGGTGAACAGAGACGGTCATGAGCTTCGGAAATCGACGCCCAAGTTCCGCCGCATATACAAGATTAGCGAATTTGGATTGACTGCGAACAATTTTCCTGTCAGCACGAGTCCCTCAATATCTCGAATTTAAGTGAATAGATTAAAAGTGATATTACCCATATCTTAACAGCCAAATTGGCATTCCGCCTTTATCTGTTCGCACTTTATCATACAATATGCCGCCAGATGGGTGTCCTTTCCACCCTTCTGACGTCAGACACACGACTCGCACGTCAGAGTTTGGCATGTCTGCAGTTCGTGTGAGAAATGGTAGAAGTTTCTGTATGATCATAGCATGGGCCAAATGGTTGATTGCAAAATGGACCTCAAATCCATCTTTGCTTACTGCTGGCGGCACTGCCATAACGCCGGCGTTGCAAATGAGGATATCTAACCGGTCATGTGCGAATTGTTTGATGCCAGCCCTTACCGACTCGAGGGAACTAAAGTCCATCTGTAGAAAAGTTAATTCCACGCCCGAATTTTCTGCGTTGATATCATTCATGATAGCGTCGGCCGCTTTTTGATTACGACCAGTGAAGTAGATGTGTTGGGGACCATGTTTTGCAAGAGCCCGGATGGACTGTTCCCCCAAACCGCCGGTTCCTTAGGTGTTAAGTATTAGTAGTGGTTGCCGAATTTATAAAGCGAGATAATACATTAAAACGTACCTCCAGTAACAAGGATAACTTTGTTGGTCAGAGACGGGATGTCTTTTTCTGGATTGAAATTCGCAATGCCAGCAAGACGTGGCATGTTAAATGATGAAAAACGAGGACGCTTAGATACAATGTGATAGGTGTTTGTTTTGTGTGTGATTAGGAGAGAAGAATTTACAAGCTGTCTGTCGCGCATCTTATATATCCTATCGAGGGCACCCAAATGAGAGGACCACATTCGCTGGTCCTCCGTGTTCGCTATTCCTTCAGGTGGATTCGGTTTACACAACCTTGGCATTACTAAAAAAGGTGTTAGCGCGTCACGATCTTGCATTAGCCCTTGCAGGCCGGCTGTCCAATCACATACAACCAGCCGTAACAGTGGGCCACTGTTTCAAGTTGAACTCTTGATACTTTGGTAGTTCCGTGCTGACGGACGAATGCCTATTGCCTTCATAGCCTCCTATTTTCACATCTTCGTGAGAGCCATTCATCGGCATAACCATCATTCTGAAGAGACGATTGCAGACACGGACATTAGTGTCAACTATCCACTAGAGCTTCTCAAGGTACAGCCCACTAACTCAGTCAAATGCTTAAAATTTAAGCGACACTTGGTTTCGTGTGACAAATCTTACAGAGGTGACGTTAGATGATTGTGGACCGGGACGACTGGAGAGGAGTGACAGACCCAGCCGAAAGGAAGAAGCGTCAGAATCGTCTCCGCCAGCGGTTAGCACGTAAGTATTGCAGTATTCTTCAAACTTAAACTGCGAAGTCAATGAAAGATAATACGAGATCGCAGGCAGTCTAAATAGACTATGCTGCGCTACTTGGTATGTGAAACTGATTCATGGCTAGGTGAGAAAAAAAGGACCGCCGCGTATGCAACGCTTACGTCTAATATCGATTCCTCTTGGAATGGTTTCGGTATTCTAGTCTCTAGAGCATCACACAAGCCTATGGCTAAGAGCGAGGATCTCGCCATTTCCAACTGCTTTAGACATGATTCGTTTGACAAAAATCTTTATGAATCATTCGAACCAGACACAGAAATCCGGAAAGAAGAGACACACATGGTTATGCCGCCTCTCATGCTGTACACGACAGCCGCAACCTTTGGACAGCCAACGTCTCCTCTCATTTTTCCTCTGAGCCCAGACTATTGTCTACTCACGATGGTTCAATACAACGTTCAACGCGCTTCGCTGTTCAATATGGCCGTCCTATCTCTTCTAGACCATCTCCCTCTAGAATGTGGGGCCACCCTCAACCTTATTACACTCAGATGTATATTGTATTGTATAAGAACTAGAGTTCTAACTACTGTAGGTATCTAGTACATAACTTAAATAGTGATATCCACTAGGCACCCTGTCTTATAACCTGATTGTATTATAGAAATCTAGCACCCCTTCTTAAGCTGGTTATAAAGAGGTACCCTATAGTTTTATTTCTGCTATCTTTATTAAAAACCCAGTAAGAAAAAAATAATAACTGCTGTTATTAAATAATAATCTTTAATATAGGTTAATTAATCTATTAATATATTAATTTATATATTTTAACTTTTTTAATTTATTTTTTAAAGAGATTTTAAAATAAAGCTTTAATCCTTAAGTCTATAAAATTCCTTTCTTTAGGTATTTAATTAATAGCTATAGTATTATTATTTATTAACTCTTTAATTTTATAGTATTAAACCCTTATATATTTAATTTACTTATAGTATTTAGCTTTCTTTACTATAATTATTAATTTATTATTATTAATATATAATTAAATAATGCCTAGGTTAATATATAGCTTTTTTATTAAGCCTTATAAATATATAGCCTTTAAGCTGCTGGCTGCTAAAGTAATATATTTTAATTTTATGCTAAAGGTTACTATAATGCTTTATTTAATGCTTTTTTAGTTAATAGTATTATTAACTAAAAAGAAAATATAATATTGCATTAATTTTAATTAAAGGTATCTTTAGTTTATTTTATATTATTATATTTAATTAATTTAAGCCCTTCCTGACTTTTATAAGTTAAAGCAAGCTTTAAATTATATATTATATATTTTAATATTTATTTTATAGCTAAAAGATATATTACTATAAGGTTAATTATAAATTTATTAAGCTTAGCTATAGGGTAGGCTAAGTTAATTTTTATATAAATTATTATAAATATTAATATTTTAATAATATATTAATAAAGCTTTTTTTAATTTAAATTTTTTAAGTTTTTAAACCTTGCTAAAATAAGCTTTTTATTTATATTTATAAAGGTTTACTAAAGCTTAATATTTTATAGCTTTAAATATTTAAGTAATTTTTTTAAATAAGCTTATTATAAAAGTTAAAGTTATTATTATTTATAGTTTTAAATAATTTAAATTTTTAAAAAATAGTATATAAGCTTTAGATTATTTATTTAAAAATAACTTTTTAATTAATCTTTAACTTTATATACTGCTTTAATATCTATATTAAAAAAAAGTAAATTATTAATATAGACCTCTATAATAACTTTTTTTTTTTTATTTATAAAAACAGCTTTATTATATTAAAAAACTATAAAGTTAAGCTTTATTAATATTTTAGTAAGTATTTTATATTAAACTTTTAGTGCTTACTTTAAACTATAAAGTGCCTTTTATAGGCAGTAGACTTTATAATTATTATTAAAATTAATAGGAAATTTAATATAAATTAATTTATTAACCTTGCTATAGAGGAAGGCTGTTTTAATATTTATTTATTTAATTTCTTAATTTAATACTACTATAATTATAAATAGTAGCCTATAGGTTTTCTGCCTGACTACTATAGTAAAGGTTTTATTATAGTTAATACTATATTTTTATTTAAAGCTATAAATAACCCAGCAGGCTTTATAATACTTAATTTAATTATTAATATTAAGTTTAGTCTTATATATTTATTTATTAATTAATATATTTTATATTTATAGATAATTAATTAATTTTTATATATTATTTTTTATTAAAGAATTATATTTATTTTATATTATAGTTTATTATTATTTTTATTATAATAACTATTAAGCTTTTTTATAGTTTAATAAATTAGTGTTTTTTAAGGCTATATTAATAATTATAGTAAAAGTTTTAATTATTATAAAAATATTATATAGCCTTAAGGGTAATTTATTTATAATTTTTTATAAAAATTATTATTTATTTTAATTTAGTTTATTATATTAAAAAGGATTTTTTTTTTAAATATTACTTTATAGGCTATAATAAAATCTTTTTATATAATTTAAAGTAACTTTTTAAATAAATATTTTAAAGCTTTTATTATTTATAATATAAACTATAATTTTATATTGCTTTAATATTTATTCCCCTCTTTAAGCTAAACTATAAGTTTTTTAAATATTAAAGGCTTTTTTAATTTAAAAAATTAAAATTTCTTAAATTAATATATTAATAAAATTTCTTTTACTATAAATAAAGCTAATAGGTTTATATTTTTTATAAAAAGCTTATAGTCTATCTTTAGGTTAATCTTTATTTTTTTATTAAATATTACTTCTTTAGCTTATTTAATTTAATTAATAATAAAATTCTATAAATAATAAATAATATTAGCTTTATAGTTAATTAAAAAGTAAAGTTATATATAATTATTTAGCTTCTTAAGGAACTTAAGCTTAAGGATAAGTTTATAGGCCCTGCAGCCTAGGTATTTAAAGTATAAAATATTAAGCTTAATTTTAATTTAAGCTTTATATAGTATTATATTATCTAAAGCACTATATAAGCTTTTTTTTTAAATATATATTATACTTTATAAAATTTCTTCTTATAGTTCTTTAAGTAATTAATTATTAAAGAAAATAACTTTTATTTTATTTTATATTATTTAATATATTTTTTTTATTAAATTTTATAATAATATATAAAGTATAATTTACTTAAAATAAATTTTCTTTTATAAAAAAAAATTAAATATAATTATATTTTTAAATTTACTTTTATTATTTATTTAATAAAATTAAACTTTTAAGTTAATTTAAGCCTTTAAATAAATAATATTTACTTAAATATATATAGTTGCCTGGCTTTTTTTTTTTAATAAATAAAAATAAAGTTTTTTAATTAAATTATTAATTATTAATAAATAATAATATTTACTTTAAAATATTAATAATTTAATAGGTCTGCTTAAATTTATTATTTATCTTTAGCCTTTAATAAGTGCTTTATATAATATAGCTTGTGTATTTTTTACTTTACTTTTACTAGTAATATAGGCCTTATATAGTCTAAGAGTTTTATTAATAAATTTTATTTTAATTAAATCTACTAGCTTAATATAATTTTAATAATTTAAGTAGTTTATTTATTAATATAAAATAAGTAAAGGCAGTGTTTTTATAATATTATTTATAAAGTAAGCTATTAAATTATTAAAGTTATTAAATATCTTTTACTTAAATATATTTTTTATATATAAGTAATTTAAATAGCTAAACCTTTTATAGATTATACCTTAAAGAATAAAATAATTTTTATATATAATAATAATTTATTATTTATTTTAATAATACTTAAAGTAATTATATTTTATAAA